AGGTTAAAAGGACTTCTGACTCAAACTCTGCCTCTTAAATTTGCGGTTCACCACTTCCAGCCTGGTGACTTGGTGCTGATTAAGACTTGGAAAGAAGACAAGTTCCACCCAAACTGGGAAGGTCCCTATCGAGTGTTCCCAACCACAGAGACTGCTGTGCAAACAGCTGAATGGGGTGGACTGACTATACTACAGTCAAGGGACTGGTAAAATAGACCCCGGAAGGGAGAGAAAAAGACCAGTGCACAGGTCACCTGAGGAACCCTTAAAGTTAACTCTGAGAAAAATGTAAAAAAAAAACAAAACATGGGACCGGGTGCAGTGGCTCATGCCTGTAATCCCAGCCCTTTGGGAGGCTGAGGCAGGTGGATCACGACGTCAGGAGTTCGAGACCAGCCTGACCAACATGGTGAAACCCCATCTCTACTAAAAATACAAAAATTAGCCAGGTGTGGTGGTGCGCACCTGTAATCCCAGCTACTCAGGAGGCTGAGGCAGGAGAATCGCTTGAACCTGGGAGGCAGAGGTTGCAGTGAGCTGAGATCACGCCACTGCACTCCAGCCTGGGTGACAGAGTGGGACTCCACCTCAAACAAAAAACAAAAAAAAAAATTGTTTTTTTTTTTTTCCCCCTGTGTTGGGGAAAAAATCCCACATTTTCCACCCAGCATAACACATACATCTCCTTTTTCTGCTAGTATCATGTCTTAACGCAAGACATGATATTTTTGTTCCCTGGGTTTCTTTCCCTGTGTTGACAGCCCCTAACCCATATACCTGAGGTGCTACTTTTGGTTCTTGGTCTAGAACAGCTGGATTGTCAATGGTGATGAGTACAGTATTACATTCTAAATTCTGGCAGTTATTTGGCAGGGAGCCCTTGGCCCCTTGGACACATGTAGTTTATTCTTCATGTGGCTGGGATGGGCTGCTATACAAAGAACAGAAGGTCAAAATGGAAACTGGCAGGGGCCTACTCCCTACCCAATCAGGCCCGAAACCAAATAGCTGCTGCGTTTGAGTCAGCACTCTTCCGGTGGTCTACTATTAGGAGTATGAATTGGATTAACTACATCTATTATAATCAAGAGAGATTCATCAGTTATACTTGGAATGCCCTCAAAGGGATGGTTAGCCAGTTTGATGCCACCAGCCGAGTGGCCTGGGAAACAGGCTTGCGTTAAGACGTGATACTAGCAGAAAAAGGAGATGTATGTGTTATCCTGGGTGGAAAATGTTGTGGGATTGTGAACAAATCACCCTGGGGGTCTTTCCCTGTGTTGGCAGCCCCTAACCTATATACCTGAGGTGCTACTTTTGGTTCTTGGTCTAGAACAGCTGGATTGTCAATGGTGATGAGTATAGGATTGCATTCTAAAATCTGGCAGTTATTTGGCAGGGAGCCCTTGGCCCCTTAGACACGTGTAGTTTATTATTCATGTGGCTGGGATGGGCTGCTATACAAAGAACAGAAGGTCAAAATGGAAACTGGCAGGGGCCTACTCCCTACCCAATCAGGTTGGTGATTAATGTAACCAAGACGGTAGCATCCCAGACTATAAGATTTGATGCCTGCCAGGTTTTACCTTGTGGGAATTTAGAAAATCAGAGATAGCTCTTGCAGGCAGATAAATATCTTTGCCCTGAACCAGATACAAGTTACAGTAGGGTATTACCCTGCCCCAGCTGGGATAACATATGGTGGACTACCCAATTTCAGGGTTGGACAGTAAACATAGGGTAAGTAACTCTGAACTGGAGACCCTTGAAGAATAAACTACATGTGTCCAAGGGGCCAAGCGCTCCCTACCAAATAACTGCCAGAATTTAGAATGCAATCCTATACTCATCACCATTGACAATCCAGTTGTTCTAGACCAAGAACCACAAGTAGCATCTCAGGTATATGGATTAGGGGCTGCCAACACAGGGAAAGACCCCCTAGCGTGATTTGTTCTCAAACTAAGCAAGGACTCAACCTCCCATTTGCCTGGGACTACTCCAAACCCAGACCCTAATAAACACTTTGCCAAATAATGACCCTAAAAGGGTAAAAATAATTGAGGTAAAGGATTTAAGGCAAACCTTAGAAATTTAGACAGCGTACAGGGATGTGAATGCCTGGGTCAAAAGGGTCAAATTTTTGGTACAAACCCTCAACAAGAGTAACTGCTGTGTGTGTGCTGCAGGGCAACCTCAGGCACAGGTGGTTCTGTTTCCGCTAGGATAGAATACCGATCCTAAAGGAATGCGTTGCATGTTGGCTCTGTACCAGGATAAGGATGCTTGGGGAAATGAGACCTATAAGACTCTGTCATTGCTCTTTCCCACATTACAGAGGTCGGATCCCAGAGCAATCCTCTCATTCTCTGTAGGGAATATGAACCACTCCTCTTGCCTCTCTAGGCAGCGGACAGAGTTCAGTAAGCCCATGGGAGAACTCCCAACTTGTACCTACATCCTAAATGTCACTGGTTAGTCAAGCCATGGCAATTACTCAGCTCTCCATATACCCTAGGCTGGTGATATTGTGGGAAAAGGAACCTCCATAACCTGTTACCATCCAGTTGGACCGGGACTTGTGCTTTAGTCCAACTGGCCATTCCATTCACCCTGGCATTCCACAATTAAGATACCTGATACCTGAAAATACACATGGCCACTGAAACTGGAGAGATTTGACAAATTCTTTTGATCCCAATATATATGTTGACTTGATAGGAGTCCCTAGGGTGTCGCCTAATAAATTTAAGGCCTGAAACCAAATAACTGCTGGGTTTGAGTCAGCACTCTTCTGGTGATCAACTATTAAGAGTGTGAATTGGATTAACTACATCTACTATAATCAACAGAGATTCCCCAGTTATGCTTGGAATGCCCTCAAAGGGATGGTTAGCCAGTTTGATGCCACCAGCCGAATGGCCTGGGAAAGGCTTGCATTAAGACATGATACTAGCAGAAAAAGGAGATGTATGTGTTATGCTGGGAGGAAAATGTTGTACTTTCATTCCTAACAATACTGCCCCAGATGGAACCATCACAAAAACTTTTCAAGGGCCGATAACTCTAGCCAATGAACAGTCAGAGAATGCTGGAATTGATGACCCATTTACGTGTTGGGTAGAAGGTTGGTTTGGAAAATGGAAAGGCATGATAGCTTCAATCCTTACATCTCTTGTAATTGTGGCAGGAGTCTTAATAGCAGTGGGATGTTGTGCCTCTAAGTCCATTCTTTGGGTTTGGATGGGTGACTGTGTTTCTCACAAGAAGCAATACTTTCCAACTCATTTCATGAGGCTAGCATAAGGTTCATATCAAATCTTGAGGAAGGTAATAAATGAAAATTACATGTTAATTTGATTTATGAATGTACATGCAAAAATCTTAAAGAAAATATTAACACATTTAATTCAACAATTTATAAAAAGTGTCATACATCATGAGCAATTTTCATTTATCCAGGAAGGCAATATTAAATTTTTTTAAATTAATGTCATTAACACATAAGTGATGAGAGTTTAGTTATATAGGCAAATCTCAGTAAATGAAGGAAAAAGAACTTTATATGATTTAACATAAATTCAAGAAAAGATATTAGCAAAATAAAAATTTCTTAACCCAATGTAGAGCACTTATATCCCAAAGAGACTTTTAAAAAGCTAACCAACCTCATTCTTAAATGTATATGAAATAGCAAAGGGCCAACAAGAGCCAATTCCCAAAAAAAGAAAAACAAGGTGAGCATCTTTGCCCTACCAGTTATCAAGACTTACCACATAAAAATATATTGTAATCAAAGCAGTACATTACTGTGAAGGGAAAGACAAACTGACAAACTGAAGAGAAACAAAAGCAGATCTGCACTTACATGCAGTAGTGATATTTTACAGGATGATCATTGCAGATTAACAGGAGATGCTGCCAGGACAATTGTTTATGAAAGTAGAAAAAAAAAAAAAAAAAAAGAAAGAAAGAACGAACTTGGACCTTGCCCAGCATCATCACTGATCATCCCTTCCCACATTTACTCTTCTTTCACACACAAGTGTCTATCTCTGTGAACAGCAATACCATCCACCCAGTTACCCAAGCTGTGAACCTGGAAGCCCCCTTGCCTCCTTTTATTGCCCCAACATCATATTCTATTAATCCTCAAGTCTACCCCTCTTTTTACCAATCCTTTACTGCATTAACTCCTACGAAGGCTTCAGCAGTCAGTTCTACGACATTTTAAGAAAACTCAGGTTAGGTTCTCCTCCTATGTGGTCCCATTACACCTGTAACCTGTCGTCATACTTGCACTATTGTAATTGCCAGTCTATATTTAGGTAAGTTTCTGAAGACCTTCTAAAAATTATTTGAGGAAGAGTATCTTGTGTGGTTCATAGTTTTATTTTCGGTGCATAATGTCATGCCAGAATATATGGTAAACATTCAAAAATATTTGAAGAATACATCAATTAATCAATAAATGATTTTATGGATGAATAGATACAAACTGAATTAAAAAGTAACTGAATTCTACAACTGAAACATGTGAAATGTGTTTATGTTCATTATTTTGTTTTTTTTTGTTTTGTTTTTTTTTTTTGCAATATTCTCCAAATATATTCCTTTTTTTGCCAAATAGATTTAGTTTAAGGCGGTATTATTTCAGGCTATTTTAAAACCACTTTTGTCACATTCCTTCTTCACGCTGATTAAAGATATTTAACATGTAAGCAAAAATATTCCAAGTTCTATTTTTCGAGAATGATGTTTCTCTGAGAGGGAATAAATCATTCATCTTGCAGCATAACACAGGCTGTTACAGAAATTTTAAAAATAATTATCTTTCCTCTTAAAACATTAATTAGAATTGTCTGGAACATCTTAGGTACCCCAATACATTTTTGTTGAATGAGAGATTAAAGGTATAAACTGTGTCCAATATTTTTTAAAATCTAGACATGACCCTTCTTCTATATTTATTATTATGTTTTTGTCATTTCTTTCTGAAGGAGTTTGATTGGCCGATACAAGGACTGCTTGTTCCGAGCAGTCCTCCCATGAAAAAACCCATCTGTAAGACAACGGAGCCATATGCCCCTGTGCGACTCAGAGTTTTGCGGAATGGAGACAAGAATAGAAACAGATCCCTTACTATCCTTGGTCCAGACATCTCACCTGGATGGAAAACACAGTAAGAACAACTTGTTCAGACTTATTAAATACACTTTCTAGTTTCTACCGATTTTTGTGTTCTTCATTATGGACGTTTTTCTGTGGGAATTCTGTATTTATTTAGCAAAAGGGCTCTCATATTGATATTTGAAGATGAAAACAGAGACTAGGACTCATTTAGTTTCTTCATCAGGAATTTGATTTGAACTCTGCTGATACAGAAGTTAATGGATTAGAAATGAGTAGCTCTGATTTTTAAAAGTTCTATTTTTAAAAGTTCTATGATCAATGTATATTTGAATTAGCATTTTTGTTTGAGTTTTATAAATGTGTCTTGAAATAATTGAACTCAACATCCTTCTTAAATATAATTTTGTAACTCCTTATTTAAGTTAAATTATACATGATTATGTTTAAATCTTTATAATATTTAATGAACAAATATAGTTCTCAAAAGTATAACTTTATATAATTTATAGTCTTCCTTGGAATAACATTTTAAAAGTTTATCACCCTAGAAAAGCATTTATTGACACTTTAGCTTGCATTATTATTGGAATAAAATTTTCCCAATAGCCAATATTTTCCCCAACATTGAAGAAAAAGCGCCCACTGTATTTTCATTTTATGACAAAAGGCATCATAGATCAGGGAAGAGCTCTGATGTAAAGAATGAGTTAAACACATTGTTTCTCATATTATTAGCAACGATATTACCTCTTGACCTTTCTTTTGAGATGTTTAGAATATTTGAGGCTGCTGATAATAGTTTAATATTACTTTGTTCACATTGATTAAATATACTTCATACATCGCTGAACAATGAGTAACATTCAGATTGGCTGACCACTGAACTGCCTGTAAAGATGATAAAGTAAAAAATTAATCTTCAAAGTAAAGTCAAGCCTGAAATTGAATTCTTTGACGCATACATTTCATAATTAGCTCATTCTGCTAGATGTAAAATGTGAGGGTAATGTCCTTAAAGTAATGTATGACTCTTCAAAAATAACACCGGAAGTTAGCACAAAATTTCTGTTTCTTCCTACATTCATTTTTTTTCTTGTTTTGCATCTTTAATTGTGGCTCAAAGTTACATACAGATATTATCTTATCACATCAATGTTTTAAAATGCATGGTGCAGTCAGGTAATCCAAACAAATTTTAAGAGATTGAAACGGTAAATTTGGACAACTCTTCTAGCACAGAATATGTGAAACGCTGTGCTGCCCATATGCTATGTTCATGGAACAGTGTGTCCCAGTTCATTAAGTATTCAGGTATTAGAGTCACTTAGTTCACCATGTGAATTAATTACTCCCAAATAATTAAAATACACTGGCATACACTTAACACTAAAACTCTACTACATATAGTTTAATTTCTCTGCTGATTCACAAAGTGTTCTATAAGATCATCAATAGCATTCCCCCACACCGCCCCCTGACAACCCACACCAGAGCTGTATGTAAGTACTGGTTCACAGAAGGTTTAAATGGAAAGTCTTGGCTTACATTGCAGGATGGCTGCATTGTCCAGCTTCAGAGAGCTCTGCTCACATGGTTATCTGTATGAATGGCATCCTAGAGTTGTGCCAGGCAGAACCCTTGCTGTGCCTCAGTGTATTTAATAAATACAAGTTACATATCTTCCAGAAGAAATAACTTCTATTGACATATAAGGATATATTACTTTCATTAACTTGAAACTCATTTATAAGAAGAAGGAGTGTTGGGCTGTTTAGTGTCTTTACAAGCAAAATCATGCTAGAATGATGAAATATAGATATACTTTAACCAAATCTTGCTCTAGTAACATGCTGTCCTTTGGCTATTTAGTAATTTACTGGAGATAGTTTTGAGGAGTTTTTGTTGTTGTTATTAGTTCTTTCATCTACAAAGCCTAAGGAAAATCAAATAGTATTTGTTCATTAATTAGTCAGTTATTACTCTAGTGAGTGACAAGATCTTGTCAATTAGTGTTAATAATGACTGTCGAGTTCATATAAATTAAGACCTTCATAATTTTTCTTGTGTCACAGGCAAATTTCATCTCTCAGAAATGTAAGTTAAACAAGAAAAATTTTATAAGTGGTATTTAAGGAATTTTAAGAAGAAAGGCCCAAGATGAAGCTCTGAAGTAAATTTTGTATTTTAGATTATTACAATATATGTATTACTTATTAGTAAGTTATGATCTCTGAACTCACTTGAGCTCCCTAATAGAGCTTGTAAGGCCTTTTATGATCTATCCCTGCATATTTCTCTAGCTCTATTTCCTATCAACACTCCCCCTATTCCCACTCTCAAACCACCCGCCACCACTTTCCAACACTTTCTATGTACTTGAATAATAAAAGTCTTTTGAGAATGAGTTTAGATTTCCTTTCCAAATATTGACCCTGAATGAGATGCTCTCTCCTCTCGAGTTAGTTGTGGCTGCTATGTACTCCACTACTCCAGCCCTGGGCCTTCCACCAGTACAGCACCTACCATTCTGTTTCATGATTATCTGCTTATGTTTCATCCATGAGACAGAGAACAGGGATGCTTCATTCATAGCAGATGTACAATCTGCTATGTTACAATCATAGATCATTGTGTTCTGATGAATCAAGTTTTAAGGTATTAGAGAGTCACTTTGTTAACCACATGATTAAGGGCCCACATAGGCCTTAAATTAGTGACCACGAAATGAATGAATGGTTAGCTATATTTGATCACCATTTGCAGTGAATGAATGATTAATTATGAAGTATTGGATAACTATTTCATTTAATAAAATATACAGATTCTAAAAATGCACAAAATAGTTTTCTAACTTAAAACTATGAGCAGATATATATTCAAATTAAGCATCTTTTTCTATGATCATCATTGTTTATTTTTCAGTTTAAAAATTTTAAATTTGGGGTTAATAGTAAGATAATATACTAGTAAAAAATTACAGGTAAAATGAATGCAATCTCTGAATTTTCTTCAAAGTTGAAAAATTTATATTTCATAGTGTTCAGCATTATTAGAAGAGAAATAAAATAGTGAAAATGTATTGTCTTATAAAATTACTCATAGTATGAATATTTATGTAATAACGTCATGTTATTTAATATTTAATATAAAGTTAAATATTTCATTGTGATAGTTTTTGAAACTGTATATTTTAAAGAAAGAGATTACTTTAGGGCAAGTCATGATAAATTAAGACCTTATAATTTTTCATATATTAAAATACGTCAAGAGATAATTGACAGTGTATTCTGACATATCAATCAAATCTTGGATCATTTGTTTCAGAAGTGTTCACACTGAAAAGAGAGAGAAAATCTGTGTCACTAAATATACTGAAACAGAAATGGACCAGATAGAATTTCACCAATTTTTGGAAAGGTAAGCACTTAATATTCTAAATGCAAATGCGTTTTCCATTTAAATACCTGAATGATTATTTATAACAGATAACATACTATATGATATATACATATATAGTGTATACTGTATATGGTATATATAGTTAAGCATATACTATATAGTTAAGTATATGCTATATATATACTTAAATATATATAGTATATTATATTTGGTTTATATTTGCTTGCATTAAGGATGGAGTAGTGAAATTTTTATATTTCACCTATTATAAACCAATTTAAATATATATAAATTTGGTTTATAATAGGTTAAATATTTTATTTACATATATATATATTACATATATACGTACCTAACAAAATCAGTAGTTAATATAATGATTCTAGAGTTTCTAATCTGTGGAATATATAAAGCATGTGAGCCTATGATACCAATGGTAATTAATACAATTTTTTTCCCCTAAATGTCAAGGTCTAGCAAATTCCCCTAGCTTTCAGAATCACCAATTCTGTAAATATAAATTAATCTCATTTAAAAAATATATTTCACAATTTACAGCACCTTTTTTTGGCTTATATTTGGTTGAATTAAGAGTGGGGTAAATTTTTGTATTTTACCTGTTATAAACCGATTTTTAAAATATGACTGTCTTAGTCTGTTTTGTGTTACTGTAAAGAAATACCTGAGACTGGTTAATTTATAAAGAAAAAAGGTTTATGTGGTTCATGATTCTGATGGCTAGAAAGTTCAAGATTGGGCATCTGCATCTGGTGAGGGCTTCAGGCGGCTTCCACTCATGGCAGAAGGTGAAGAGGAGCTGGCAAATGCAGAGACTACATAGAGGAGAAGAAGTAAGAGAGAGACGGAAGGTGCCAGCATCTTTTTAACAGTCAGCTCTCAAATAACTAATAGAGTGAGAACTCACTAATTTCCGGGGGGGGCGGGGCATTAATCTATTTATGAGGGATCTTCTATCATGACTCAAACACCTCTCATTAGGCCTCATCTCCATCATTGGAGATCAAATTTCAACATGAGGTTTGCAGAGGACAAACATCTAAGCCATAGCACTAACATATATCATGTTTATGAAATATGTTGTAATTTTTCTTTAATCAGTATTTTCTTACCAAATCAAGAATTAGGTCACTGCTGAAAGGTTGGAGCACTTGGTATGAACTTTTTTGCAAAATACACCTTGTCGAATATAAGGGGATAGTTTTATTGAGTTTAAGGAAAATTATGCTATCTTTAGTTATTTAATAATTCACTCTGGACAATTTTGAGGTTCTCTTTGTCATTGATTTTTGCGTCTACAAAACTGAAGTATGATCTAATGGTATAATAAGTCCCATTTTAAAATAATAGATACAGGACTTTTGTTGTTGTTGTTGGTACCTTCTACTTTCTGTAAAGTTGCTGGCAACATAGAATATTGGAAAGACCACAGGATTAGGAGGCAATGGAACTTATTTTAACCCCAGCATTGCCACTAATTAGCTGGAAGTCTTCAGCAAAGCCCTGTCCTTCTCCAAGGCTTGTTTTCCTCAACTGTTAAATCAACAGTTATCTGTTGTATTTATATTATGTACATCAACCAATGTTGGATGTTCTGCTGGAGGTTTTCGGTGTCTTTCTTTTTCTTGTCTTCTCTTCTTTCTCTTCTCTTCTCTTTTCTCTTCTCTTCTCTTCTCTGTCTCTCTCTCTCTCTCTCTAGAACAAGGCATTGCTTGCTCTTAAGGAACTCCCAACTAACTTTTGGGGAAGAAAATTTGCTTAGTGAAACAATCAGAAAGCCACATGCAGCACTCTTTATAACCATACAGAATTGAAAATGATCAAGCAATCATTTACATGATGATATATATCCTGGTTTACATATAACCAGGAAAGAGAGAGAACATTGTAAGGGGCAGCTGTCAGAGAAGGCCACATGGAGAAGAAAGAAAATGAGACAAAAATCCAAAGCAAGAAGATAAAGAAAAGGAGAAAGCACATGACCATAGCTTCTCGAAGGTTTTGTTACCATTTGGAAGGAACTGATTAGCATAAGAGCTCCACTGCTGCGGAGCTGTAGCTGACTGTGGATCTGGGAGGCATAGCTCCTTTCTTTAAAAATAGGGATCTTGCTCTGTTGCCCAGGCTGATCTTGAACTCCTGGCCTCAAGTGGTCCTCCTACCTTGGCCTCCCCAAGTGCTGGGATTACAGGTACGGAACACCATACCCAACCTGCTTTATTTACTTCTAAGCTAGCCTTAGAGAAATGAGGGGCCTGATTATCTGTTTAATTGCTTTATCCCATTGAGGAAATAAAATTTAGAAACATTATAAAGCTACGTCTTGCTGATGAGCATAAAGTCAACTGAAGTTCGTTTACTGTAAACAGTACATTCTAACACAAAATATATTTAGGAACAATCTTCTACTTCTTCCATAGGCAGGATATCCTCACAGTATTGTTTAGGAAATGCTCCATCAGTCTCCTGTAGCTCTACTTTTTCCTCACAATTCCATCTATTTACATCTGTCCTAAAGCTTGCTGTCTAGGGTCCAGCCTCTCCCACCTCCAGCCCATTTTCCACCTTTCTGACAGTTAACTTTCTGAAAAGCAGACCTGATAACACCACGTAATTGCTGTAATGTCTTCAATGGCTTTCTGCTGCTTATGGGCTAGAAGGCAGGTTCCTCAGTCTGGAATCCTAAGTACTTTCAGTTGGTTTCTGCTTTATTTTTCAGTTTCATCTGGTCCATACTTTCCTCATGTCCATACACTCAGCTCCAGTCTAGCGCTTTTTGATGAAATCCTGTTTATCCTTTAAAACCCAACCCAAATGTCACTCCCTTAGATAAGGGTTCTCTGGAAAAATTAATTTTTTTCCCCTCTGTTCTCACAGCACACTGGCCAGGTGCCTATGGCAGCACCTGTGACTTCATATTACACTTCAGTGGCTCACCTTTCTCTTCCCTGACCAGATTCAGAGCTCCTCAGGGAACCACAAAACTGTCATTCATCTCAAAATCCACAAGGCTTGTCCAGTGCTTCTTTGGGAGGGCAGGGGGTTGTGGGAGTGGGAAATCAGTGTTCAATGTTTAACCAGACTAAAAACGTCTATTTCAAAGGTAGTTAAAGGGCTATAGTCATCACTTCTGGTGGAGGGAGCTGAAGAACTTGGTGACAAATTAGACTTTGACAACCTTGGAGAAAGAGCAAAACTACATCAGAAAAAAGCCAAGGAAGATTTTTTTTAGGTAGGAGAAAGAACACAGGCACAGAAATAGAAAAGTGTGGGGCATACCAAGGAATGAAAAGTCAATAGCAGTGTGTCTAGCTATTTATTGGTCATGTCTGGGACTGTGCTAAGAGCCCTTTTCAAAATCAACCTTTCATCTTCACAGAAACCCTGGAAGGTAAGAAATCTAGCCTTAGACAGGTTAAATAATTTGCCCAAGTGCCACACTTTGGAGAGGAAAATGAGACTCAAATGGGTCTGACGGGCCCCAGAGTCCAGCTTATGACTAACAGTCCTGCGGAGAGAGTTGTCATTATGGATTCAGGGCCCTGATTTCTTTTATTTTCTCCCTTTGCTGCTGGAAGCTTTCTGTATGCAAGGTCAATTTTTGTGTCTTTTATTACAGGTGCACTGAGATTTTAAATTTACCTTCTGCAGCTCGGAGATTGTACAATGAAAAGGGGAAGGAAATATTTGCCTTAAAAGACCTGCAAAGAGATGAACTGGTAAAGACATGGATTTGAACCTGGCAATATTAATTTATGAATACCTCATCCAAGAAAGAATGCCCTTAAATATAAAAAGCTTTCCATTTTAATCCTTATTTTCTCTCAGAATTATCCTAACTGAGCAAGCATCAGAAAATAATACTAACAGCTAACATTATTCTGGCATGGTTTTCAGAGTGGTATATAAATTAAACTTTTTTTTTTTTTTTTTTTTTTTTGAGACGGGGTTTCACTCTGTTACCCAGGTTGGAGTGCAGTGGCGCAGTCTTGGTTCTCTGCAACCTCCGCCTCCCATGCTCAAGCAATTCTCCCACCTAAGCCTCCAGAGTAGCTGGGATTATAGGCATGTGCCACCATGCCTGGCTAATTTTTTGTATTTTTGGTAGAGATGGATTTCAACATGTTGCTCAGGCTGGTCTCAAACTCCTGAGCTCAGGTGATCCACCTGCCTCAGCCTCCCAAAGTGGTGGGATTACAGGTGTGGGACACCGCACCCGGCCGAATTAATCTACTTAATATTCATCATGATCCTAGACTCTAGAAATTAAGGAAGAAACTGGAGAAGGCCAAATTGTTAATCATTTGTAATTTCTGTCTCCTGCTCTGAAGGGGGTAAATTCTCTGCTCTTTTTGAGAGCTTCAAAATGTAGTTGTTTAATGGTTTCTTACTAAATGGTGATTTCACTTTTTCCGGACAAAATTATGTCTACTTTTTTCACACACTCTATTTGGGTGACTGGAGAAGGCTGAAAAGCAGAAGGACTTTAGCAGCCCAGCTTTTCCCCTCATTTATAGAATTTGAGGCATCCCGTTTGAAAAATTAGAAAAAAAAGATACCTTCCTTGATTGATGCCTACAATTCTTTGAACAGAGAACAAAGCTTGTACCATTTCGTCAGAACTCAACTCAGGCCCTGAACCTAAATAGTCCTGGAGGGAGTCTTAAACAGAAGTATCAATGGCCAATATCAGAGGCAGAATGGCAGGGTGGAGAGTCTGTTGTTCTCAGAGACTGCTAGATCTCATTTTGAATCCTAATGCCATTCTCCAAGCGTTTTGTGTGTTTGTTTTTAGTGTTTTTGTTTGTTCTGCTATGCTATTCACTGTGGGTTTTTGTTTTTGTTTTTGTTTTTGTTTTGAGACGGAGTCTCGCTCTGTCGCCCAGGCTGGAGTGCAGTGGCGTGATCTCGGCTCACTGCAAGCTCCGCCTCCCGGGTTCACGCCATTCTCCTGCCTCAGTCTCCCAAGTAGCTGAGACTACAGGCGCCCTCCAGCAAGATCGGCTACTTTTTTGTCTTTTTAGTAGAGACGGAGTTTCACCGTGTTAGCCAGGATGGTCTCGATCTCCTGACCTCGTGATTTGCCAGCCTTGGCCTCCCAAAGTGCTGGGATTACAGGCGTGAGCCACTGCGCCCGGCCCACTGTGGGTTTTTAAAGAATGAATTTAAGGTAGATTACATTAAATCATACAATACAAAAAATTAATTTAATGGTAAGTATAGATGAGGCCACCATGGCAAAGCAGGTATGAGTGGAAGGAGGATAAGATGGAGCCAGGAGTGATTGTATATTTGCTAGAAATTAATCTGTCACTGCTCTGAAGAGTAACATGAAAATGGAAACATAAACAGTTAGTTACATCATTAAATATGTCCAAAAGAGAAAAAGGAATCTGTTGTTCAAAAGAAGAAATTTTTGGCTGGGCACGGTGGCTCACACCTGTAATCCCAGCATTTTGGGAGGCCGAGGCGGGTGGATCACCTGAGCTCAGGAGTTGAAGACCACCCTGAGCAACATGGCGAAACCCTCCCTCTACTAGAATACAAAAAATTAGCTGGGCGTAGTGGCAGGTGCCTGTAATTCCAGCTACTCAGGAGGCTGAGGCATGAGAATCACTTGAGCCCTGGAGGCAGAGGTGAGCCGAGATCATGCCAGTGCACTCCAGCTTGGGCTACAGAGTAAGAGTCCATCTCAAATAATAATATTAGTAATAGTATTATATATTTACTATTATTAGTATTATTATTTGAAGTTTTCCCTGGGTCTTCTACATAGAATGTTGAATGTTTGTAATAATGACTTTGCAATGACCAGAAAAGTCAGCACTGAGGTTCTCTTTCTTCTTACTGAGCCTTTTTCAATATATCACTTTCTTTTCTCATCTGTAAAGAAATATTTATCCATTTAAGGACATTTAAAAATACATAAAAGCAAAAAAAGGAGGAGAGGAGGAAAAGTATCATCCATAATCTTGTCACCTGGAAATATCCACACTGACATTTTGGTGTTTGTACTACAAATTCATTTATACCAGGGGTCATTAAACATTTTCTGTAAAGAATGATGTAGTAGATATTGTAGGTTTTGTGGGCCATATGGTGCCTGCTGTATATCAGCTCTGCTCTGATGCATGAAAGCAGCCATAGACAACATGTAAATGAATGGGCATAGCTGTGTTCTAATAAAACTGTACTCACAAAAAAAGACAGGGGACAAGATTTAGGTTTTAGGGATAGTTTCCCAATCTCTAATTTTGCCAATCTCTAATTTATTCCTCCTTTCCTTCTTTCCTGCCTTCCTCCCTCTCTCCCTGCGTCCCTCCCTTGCTTCCTTCTCTCCTCCCTTCCTTTCTACCTCCTTCCCTCCCTCACTCCCTTCCTCTTTTCTTCCTTCCTTCCCTCTTCTTCTTAAACAATTATTTTTTAAAACTTTTGTTTTGAAATAATTATAGATTCACAGGATGTTGCAAAAATAATATGGTACAATACAAAGACAGTTTTTTCACTTAATACAAAACTCTTGAAGTTCATTAAAGCTGTTGCCTTTATCAGCAGTTTGATTTTTTTTGAAAGTACTGAGTGGTATTCCATGGCACCACAGTTTTCTTTAATCATTCACCTATTATATTAATAGTACATTTTGATTTTTTTGATTGTCTCCAGTTTAGATTATTACAGATTATGCTGCTGTGACAATTATATACAGGATAAGAGATGCTTTGTTTGATAGGTGTATGTTTCATGTGGAGAACATTGGATCAATCCTGACCTGTCCATTGCTCAACAAAAGAAACAAATCTTCCTGAGGAACCTAGCATCAGACATTTCCAAAATTCAAATCTTCTGTAGCATACGTAAAATAGAAGGTAAGCATTGGAATTATTTACCTTAATATATGCAGCCAAAATGAAAGGCTTGATGATACTGTTTTTAAAAAAGTCAAAGTTTGTTTAAACAGGTAATATTTCACCTCTGCATCTTGCTGTTTAACTCTTTAAAGTCATTTATATGTTTGACAGGATTGAGTATTTTAGTTCACACTACAGTTTGAATGTGCAAAGAAAACATAATCTTTTTATTTTGTCGTTAATAGATCTGACCTTCTTTGTGAGCCTCATGCATTCTCCAGTCATGTTTACATTTTATTCCATCCATTAATTTAATTAGTCCCTTTAGGGAGAGCTTTCAGATTTCTCTATCTCCAGACTCTCATGTTAAGTTCCTCTCTAAGATAGAAAGAAAGCACTTGGGATGCAGATCTTCTTGCTTCCTGGGCTCTGCTGGCTGAAGTCTATGACTGGAGTGACTTGTGGTTCCTTCTTTTGGTTCAGACGATACTCTGGGTGGGTGTGCTTCCTCCCTGACTCAGCCTTCTCTCTGCTTCCTGTGGCCCTCTGGAGCCTGGCTATGACTGGGTGGTCATCTCTGCAGTTCTTGCTACAGAGCCACCTCACCCCTGCTTGGCACGCACTTTTGGAAAGTTCCCCAAAAAGATTCTCAGCAACTCCTGGGTCTTAGCTGCACCTCCCAGAAACCAGATCCCAGTTCACGTGGCTGGCTGTGCTTCAGACTGGAGTAGCAAGGGTAGCTAGAAAGGGGACGTCATCATGGTGTCCTCAACAATGGCTGGTGTCCTAAACAATGGACAGTGTCCTCACTGTTTCCCCAGTTTAACTAAGATACCCAAAGTGAAGCCTGTAGAGAGAATCAGGATACACTGTGCTAGTTTTCTGGCTTTCTCTGTCTTGTTCCCCAAATCCCCTCTGACTCAGGAGTGGTGGTTTTTCTCCAGGTCAATCCTGAAGTTAAACCCTTGATACACTAAGTGGGAACTACAGGCTTTTGGAGAAACCATAGATCATGACTGTATCATCCTAACTTCCACGGCCAATGGCAGTATGCTGTTTGAATGTCAAAAACTATCTTTGGACTTTTGCTTTTCTTTTATTCAAGTTCTGATTTCCTCATGATCCTCCTCCTTCCCTTAAGTTTTCTCCAGGAACCAGGACAAAAGTCCATACAGAGAAAAGAAAAAGAGACAAAAAACATTAGTATAATTTAAAACATTGCCCTATGATATATATTGAACACTGTATAGTAAAACTTTGCATGTGTCATTCAAGGCTTTCACTGGGACTGGGATTGGGACGTCCACTGATAAGTTTTGGATCCCAGAGAATGATCTAGAAACATATATCTAAATAATATAGCCCATTTGAATAATTACAATATAGAATAATTAACTGATCTTTGGAAAGACCTATTTTTAGTATTTTTGACTAAGGATACCTTGAGAGTAAAGAATCTACAAAAATTAAAATTAAGTTCAACTGAGTTTAATAAATAACCTATGAATAGACCAAATAGATGGATTTTTTTTTGCATTTGTATTTTAGTGTCTGTTTCTAAATTCTTGATGCTCTGCAATTGTAACTAATATGTCCTTGCAATTTGTGAATTTTTGCTCAGCTCTTGTTTTAGAAGTCCAAAGTGACATTGTATCTGGAAGCAAGCTTGCTGTGCATAAACCTGCAGCAGTTTTTGGCAAAGAGAAGCAAGTTACAGAACCAGAAGAAAAGCAAATGCAAAAAGATGCTCTAACAACGGAAAATGCTTCCAGTGAAATTCTGTAAGTAATCAGTGTAGCCGGAAAAGCTACCTGGCTGCTGTCTGAACTCAGCTCATTAGCCCGATAACAGCACAGAGCCCATGCAGCGAGCTCATGCCAAGTTTGTGAAACTAATGGCAGGTGAAGAGCTAGTATTTAATTAGTTTTCCGGCAAAATGATACAACTACAGCTTCAATGTTCAACCATCACAATGATCTATTTTCAGTAATATTGTTATAATGTTATTATTTTTAAAAGGCTAGAATTTTAGGATAGAAAACATTTATTTGAGGAATTCATCAAGTTTTGTTTCCATAAATATTGACTTCAGGATAAATTAAGCTTCTTCCCTAAGTTCAAGCTAGACACATGTTAATATACAGTTATCATTCTGGATCATTGAAATAGCTTTCTGATTGCTCTCTGTTGCCATAATATCTTCCTTCCAATTTCCCTCTAAGTTAAACTGTAGATGATTAACTTTCTAATGCACAATCCTTTTCACATAGTTTTTTAAGGGCTACCTATTGCAGACAGAAAAAACTTATTCATCTGGAATCCCAAGACCTTCTGACCTTGGTTCATGCCTGTCATTGACCCTCATTTGCATTCCCATGCCCACTGTCTTTTTCTGACACATGAATTCCAACCTCCAGCTCAGCAACAACAAGCTGTCGCCTGCATATTGCACATTCTGTTTATGTTCTGTTGCAGACCTCTGAGCCACATACGAATTTCTCTCCACTGCAGTGCCTTTACTTGCCCCATATTTATCTGTAGAATGACTCTTTAGCATTGAAGTCAATTACAGCAATGACTGTACGTGGCAATGTACTTGTCAGTCCCTCTCTCCCTTGCCTACCCCTCCCTCTACCAGACTGGGAACTGTTGAGGGCAAAGACTCTGTCACGTGGGTTCTAATCATCATTTACTGAATAAACGAAGGAAAGATTGAATGTGTTTCAAATTATAAAAGCGAAAATACCTGGCCAATTACCACTGCAATAATTGTGAGAATAATTTATATATCATTGTTATGAATTGTTTCTATCCTCAATTATAAGAATATGAACTTTTAGAAACCAAACTTCCTTATTCGGATAGGTGATTCATTTGGTCCTATGACTGACAGTAATAAAGGCACCAGAAGGCATTTTTCAGAGAGAATGATTGGTCTTAGATGGCATCTTTCTCAACAGTCAAGGAATTTACCACAAACTTTCACATCCCCTTCTAAAGAAAGTGTCATCTATCCTTTGAGTAATTTAGTCTGCACTTGGAAAAAAAATAAACAGAAAGTAAGAGAAAAGAAAGAAACATTTTTGAGAGCAAAGATTCTCATTGTTCTGAATCAGAGATTTCATGAAGGCCTGCGGTCCTTGAGGTTAAAAGTGATTGGATTCTCTCAGAGTACAATGCAGGCATCTCCTGCATATTCCAAGCAGGCTCTTTTGCTCAAGCCTCTTCTTGAATACTCCTAATAACAGAGAGATCACTGTTTTCAAGGAGGCCCATTCTAACATTTAAATAATTATTTAAACCATCTCCATCTTATTATTCCATGTGTTTCTCTGTATTATACCCTATTCCTCTTCTACTTGGCAGCTCTTAAACTATTTGAAATATTTTTTAATACCCTGGGTTATCTATTTTCCAGGCTGTCACTAGTCATTTGAACCATTTCTGATGACACAATCCTGAAATAATCCTAAATCATCTTGCATTAGGAAGTCACTGTAACATTTTTCCCAGACTTTCTTAAATGTGCTTGTTTGGAGGTTTTTGCATATTTGAAAAATGGGATGATTTAAGGAGGGACATGCATAAAGCCAGCAGCTAGAACATCAGTCTAGAAGGATCCTTCTTGATTGCTTTTTTATCATAAAGGTGTCTGGCACAAACAATAAGAAAAATGGAAAAGCAATTCTGGTAGCACTTGCCTACCATTTTTGTGCTTTGCAGGATAAAAAGACTTTTGGAACATAGAGAGTGGGGCAAACTTTCTCATTTCCTCACTGAATCACAGGTACCTGCCCACCTCTTAAGCCTTGTCTAGAACTACCATCCCCTCACTCACTGCCTGTCACACCACTGTCTTTCTGTTCTTGAAATGGGCTAACCATAATCTTGCTTCATCGCCTTTTCATTTGTTCTTTTCTCTGCTTGGAAGGCTCTCCCTCTAGATCCTCACGTGACTGGCTCCTTCCTATTGTCTATGTCTCAATTCAAACATCACCTCTCAGAGAAGCCTTCTTTGACTCCATTGCTAAAGTAAACCTTACCCTGTCCCAGTCAATTTCCATCACAATATCCTATTTTATTCAAGGTATGGTATTTATCTTGTTTATTCATTTACTTGTCTATTTAATCTCTCTTCTTCCCACTAGAATGTAAACTCCATGAGCACTGATAACTTACCTGTCTTGTAGATGTTCAATAAATATTGATTAAAGGAGTGAATAACTAACGAATGATTTGTTCGATGAATGAACAAATCAATTAATAAAGCAAGATGGACTGAAAAAATGACTGTTCTAAAACTGACCTGACTATATCTTATTTGCCAGGAAGTTCAAGAGCTGATAGAGAAATTCCAAGTAAGAAAATTAAACCTCTGGATTTGGGTGAAGAATCTTGTTTGCATCTTTCTAACTTTGTTAAAGCTAAGAATGACTTTTTTCCCCTCTCTCTTTTCCTCAACGAAATGGAATTAGTGAGAAAGCTGTGGTTTTTATTTTTAACACAAGATGGCACTGTTGTTTTTTAACTGTAAAAGGAGAGTTTTGCCTCGAGAAGCCGCTTGTGCTGCCTGCAGTTCTGAATGAGGCAGTCATTACCCACCAGTTTCAAATCTACATGTAATACTTCTATTACATTTGAAAAGAGTACGGTCAGCTCTGCTAGCACAGGAATTGTCCCTGAAGATTTTGGTAATTTAATAATGCTTGTAGTTACATCAAATTATCATAAGCACCTTCGTGATCAGTCTGTCCCAGAGAACTTTATTTACAGGTATGCAGATTTAGAGTGCTGAAATAGGCTTGCTGCTTTGCCTGTATATTTATCCTTCCTCAATCAAACAGTCCTCATATCATGATCCCACTGAAGGCAAATGTGATCTCAACAGTGGCCTGGAACTTTATATATACAGATCTATATGGCAGCTACTGATCCCCTTTATATCTTCATTTTAATAAGAAGTCAGAAGGCTGACTCAATTATTCAAACTATGACTATTTACTCTGTTTATTGTATTATTCTCTGTCAAAAGCTGGCTTATCTATGCAGATGCTATTTGAGTTTCCCTAGATTTCTCTGTAGAGAAATCTCGGAAAAGTTAAGATTTCTTAGCCTTGTCTAATGAGTAAACTTTACAAAACTGGGTAATCTAGGCTGTACTGTTCCAGTCAGAATTATGACCCAATTATGGGGTAGACAGAGGGAGTCTCATTACATGTTCATTGTAAATTTCTCAAACTACCGAGTAGTCAATCTTTATGATTTTTGAAATACAATACATGGTCTCATTTTTTCTGAGTAAACATGACAGAGATGAATGCTGTTTATTATGTGATTGAGGGATTTTATTTGTAGCCTTATATTAAAAGATCTAAATGATGTATTAGTAAGATGTGAATTTCAAATATCAGGCACCCTTATGGAAATAAGATTTATAGATCCACCAACATCCTGCAGAATATGATCAGACTACACCTCAGAAAAAAATTTTATGAGCACAAATGAGATTTCTTAGATTTGTGTTTGCTTCTGAACCCTGATAGAGATTCACATGCGAGAGCTCATCTTCGAATGAAGGCTTGTCACACACTTCTCAGGTATGCCTGGCAGGAAACTTCGCATGACTTTGATAAGGATGACAGTCTTCCAAAGAAAATGGAAAAAGGGCTCTTTGAAAATGTGGAACCACAGAAGAAATACAGGTAAAAAGTTGCAAAGGAATCCTCTTAAAGATTTCTGTCTAGTGTTAGTTTTCTCACCTTGGGACACATATATTCCTAAGAGTTTTCACTGCTGTTAACTGCTGTTTCTATCAACATGCACATTTTTGTCTTATGGTTTTGATTAAAATATTTACAAAATTTTGCAGGAACGTCCTTTACTCTTTGGTTTGTTTTGCTCAGCATATAATCTCTTACTCATTTGTGTTTTTTCTATTAAACAGTATGCTTATCCACCTTTGCCTCCTGACAACTTAGCACAGAGCCTGTATATTTGTTGAATGAGTGTGCTAGTGAACTTATGAATAAGGATTTAAAATGCCCTGATGTTTTTAAGAAATTAAGAAAATGCAGTTTCTTCTTTATTAATGTTTTTTGTCAATGTCCAATGAAATGACAGGAATATATAGTACTTTGTATTATTTCATAATCTAATACTTTGTATTATTTCATAATCTTTAGATATTTACTTGACATTACAGCAGTTACTGGAACATGTGAATTAAATATTTTTGACACTTCAACATTTAGCACTAGGCCATGCACATAGTAGGGGCTTATTAGATGTTTATAGATTAATTTAATTGACAATGTGTTATGATATGTAACATGTTAATTCTGCTTAATATAAGATCCTTAAGAGAGCCATTTAAATTATTAATTCATCATTATTTTATGATGTGCTATGAATTGTCAGAGGTGAGTTAAAAACTTGGAGAATGGCGTTCTGTTTCGAGGGATACTGTAGACAGAGGATAGAAACAATCATAGTTTGAACAGAATTCCCTTATTTCTCTGTTTTGATTCTACATGCCCCTGCCCCTGCCCCTGTTCTCTTACTTAATTTTAAATTTTACTTTTTCCTCTTTAAATTACCTTGTCAACTGAAGTTCTTTTCTCTTTGCTAATGAATTTTCAAATATTCTCCTGGTAAACATTTATTTCTGTTACAAAATAAGCTCAGAATTCTACTTCTTATGTCAGCTTAGAAGTGCAGTGCTAGTAGCGTTGTTGTCATTCTAATGCTATGGTCTATCATTGCAAGTTCACGTGGTTCATATTGGAGCTCTCACCAACAGAACTTATAATCCCCAGCACATCAAGTGCAGGATCAAATGCATGGGACATTTTTCTGCCACTAATGGAGGTTTCTTTGTCTCAGCTGTTCACCAAAGCATAGTAAATTGCACAAGCATTGCCATCAGCAGTTCGAATACAGAGATGGGCAGATTATAAGCCTTGCTGCTCCTCAGCTAGTCTTGGGGGTTCAAGGTCCCAGTCTCCGGTCAGGCATGGAGGTGGTTTTGGTGGAGAAGAAATCTGATGGTAGTAATCAGCGCTGGATACATCAGGAAGACAGCAGGTAATCCCATTATATTTGGGTTTAATATATCAAAAGGTGAATAGGATCCTAATAAGTCTAGCATGGACCCCACAGAACAAGCTGAACTATATTTGAGAGTTCTGGGTCTTCTATTTAACTTAGCTGATAATTCTTTATCCTAGCCAAAGAAGAGGAAGGGAATAAAATCAAATGTAAATGCTAGGTAAGCTACATACAATTTATCCACAATCAGATTCAGAGAAGGAATCTTTACTCTGATCTCCTGGGTATACAGTTTTATCTGGCCATTGGACTCAAGACCAAACTCTCATCGATATCTTTTTTATGAAATGAAGAGATCAAATAAGAATTCTAAAAAGTCTCCAATTTTCAATTTTTTTGATACTTTTCATTAACTTACTCCCCATCCTTCCCCCAACACACACCTTCCCTCTCTCCTCCAACTTCATAAAATAACCAATTTGTGATTTCCACTCACGCAGTATAAACTAATTCCTATCTTAGCAAATATATCAACCTAATTCAATGTCTGGTCCTGGATCCAAATTTAAACCAGCTACAGTACTGTACAAAAGTTATTTTTTAGATAATCAGGAGCAATATAAAACAGCTTGGCTATCTGATGACATTAAGGAAGTCCTGTTAATTTTGTTGGGTGCAATAATGTTTCAATGGTTATGTTAAAAAAAAGTGCTGATAAGTTGGAAACATATTGTAGTATTTACAGATAAAATTAAAAGCTATCTTAGATTTGTTGTAAGACATTCTATCATAAACAAAAATTTTAAAACTTGAGGGGAATGGATGAAACGAGAATGGCAAAATGTTGATAGCTGTTAGGTCCATGCTAGTTGATTACACATTTCTCTCTCTCTCTCTTTTTTTTTTTGGTGCATATGGAACATTTCTTTAATGAACAAAAAAGAAAACAATTCCCTGTTTTTTAGATTGGTTTGCTTCCAATTCTACCATTAGTGTGATATGGTGGGTCTCCAGGGACCTCTTTAATATCTTGAAATAAGTGTACAAAAAGTATGTTTGTGCATCTGTGCAATTTATTTTTTTCTGGGAAAGAGCTGAGATTTTCACTGGCTTCTCAAAAGGTCTGCGATGAAAAGGCTTATGAATCAGTACTTTGAGGGAGGTTGCACAAGCTTCAGCAGGCGGCAGCAGTGGGCCCTACGTGGGCAGGAGAGGAGCTGGTCTTATTCTGCCCACTGAGATGAGCAAAGCCTCCAGCAAGGAGAACTTGCTGGGCTGTTGTTAGAAAAGATGGGAAAAGCAACTGTGTAGACAGACTTGGTGAAAGTGTTTCTTTACCCCCATTCACCTGGGCTAAGCTGCCTTTGCAATGTGGAGGTAGGACAGCAGGCTTTTGTTTCTATGAATGGTTTGCCATATGGAACCAGAATTCATTCATTCAGCTACCAATGGTTATTGAGGGCAGTGTTTGAGGAGCTGTTGCTTTACGAAGAACAAAACAGATAAAAAATCTTTACCCTTATGGAGCTAACATCCTAGTGTTTCCTCATTTCTACACTGTATTTAGCAATTTATATTACTGTTTCGGTTTTCTGTATTACAGTAGAGGTCCCCGCTTAAACCTAAACTGGAATTTGAGCATGGCTGATAAATTTGGGTGGACATGCATGGGGAATGAGAATGTGACCCTGCGGCAAGAGAAAGCCATTGCATGAGTTTGACCCAGTATTACTTGGTCATTGGAAGAGAATACTAGTTCTGAATATTTCTCAATGTCTGTCAGTGTTGTTTTGTTTTGTTTCTTTCTTCCTTCCTTTCATTATGACTGCTGTGGAGAAATAAGGAGAAGGAGAAGACTTTAAGGGAAAACAGAAAAGATAAGTCAGTCTAAAACTCTATGAGATGTTGGGTCATGTGTAGCACTGCCTTGGAAAATCTAACCATGTGTAACACAAAAGAGAAGGACAGTTTCTTTCCATCTCCTCCCACTTTGCAGAACATTCTATACTTTCGTCATCTTGGGAGCTCCTCATGTCAAGCCACGGAAAAGAGAGACAGTTAGTGGAAGGGACATGGTGATATTGGTTGATCCCTCATGGGAAATGTCAGAGTCCAGAGAGAAGAGGTGGAGCATTGGGGACCCAGTGGGACAGGATTTGCTCATGAGCACAAGTCACCCTCTAGGAACACCCAGACAGACTTGGACAAGAGAGGTTTTGCAGAAGTCTTGTTGATTAGGTGTGGGCATGATTCAGAATCATATATGTCCCACGGCAGAAGTGTGTTTGCACAGTAACAGTAATTCTGAGCTTTGTTGCACATCTTCCCTTAGCATATTGTTCTCTTTCATGTAGATGGGTGGCTTTTAAAACTCATTTGTTTGGGTAAGCCGGTGAAACCTAGAGAACTGTGCATTACACTATGCAGTAGAACTCAGTGGAAAATTACATTTATGTTAACCACAGTCTTTTTATCCTCCCTATTTTACCCAGGCAGTAAATTAGGGTATATATACCCATGTACATTACATATGTGTATAATATATATCACCCTATGGCTGAAAGAGACTGCCCAAGAAAGGATAAACTTGCAATGGGGTCCCCTCCCCAAAGCTGGGGTTCAGGACTCATTAGAAAAGGTATGGTTCCATTCCACTGAATTGCAGAGCAGTTTTACTGGCATGCCTGGCCAGAGTTTGTCTGTGGTGGCTGGGTGTCTTAGTCTATTTTCTGTTACTTATAACAGAATACCTGAAACTGGGCTGGGCACGGTGGCTCAGGCCTGTAATCCCCGCACTTTGGGAGGCTGAGGTGGGAGGATCACATGAGGTCAGGAGTTTGAGACCAGCCTGGCCAACATGGTGAAACCCCGTCTCTACTAAAAATACAAAAATTAGCTGGGCGTGGTGGCACATGCCTATAGTACCAGCTACTCGGGAGGCTGAGGCAGAAGAATCGCTTGAACCCAAGAGGTAGAGGTTGCAGTGAGTTGAGATCGTGACACTGCACTCTAACCCAGGTGACAGAGTGAGACTCCATCTCAAAAAAGAAAGAAAGAAAGAAAGAAAGAAAGAAAAAAAGAATACGTGAAACTGGGTAATTTGTAAGAAATGAAATTTATTTCTTACAGTTATGGAGGTTGGAAATTCCAGCATTGAAGGGTGCATCAGGTGAGAGCTTTCTTGCTGCTGGGGACTCTCTAGAGCCCTGAGATGGCACAGCTCATCATACAGCACAGGGCATCATACAGCACAGAACATGGCGTCACATTCCTTTTCTTATAAACCCACTAGTTTCACTCCCATTATGACCTATTAATCCATTAGCCCTTTCATCTATGGATTAATCCAGGCAGACCCCTCTTTATCCAATCACCTCTTAAAGACTCTACTTCTTCATACTGCCACATTGGGAATTAAGTTTCAACATGAGTTTTGGAAGGGCATTCAAACCATAACACTGAGTGAACAGGACATAATACTCCGGAACATATAGGGGGGTGGTCAGTTGCTGGGCACACCAGCATGCAGAGGGAATGGGGTGCTGGTACACTAGGAGGCCTGAAGCATGTGGTGTCCATGTCAGGCGGGCACTGAGCAAAGGAACAATAGGCAAGCCCGGGCTATGAGGGTGCCGGGAGACCTGCATCCTGGGCACCTGGCTGGAGCAGAACATCACTGGGTATTCTTACTCCCAACCGCTGACCGCCTGCCACAGCCAGAAAGAGCTGGAGAGCCCCTTCATCCTGCAGTCTTCTTCCAGCACTCTCTACTGAGAAAGCTTAACATCACACTTACTGTGGGGGAGAAATTCTTAAAGGATTCACATTCATTATTACAGAGCATGCATGGAGCTGAGAGGCAACACAGTGCTAAGTGGCACAGAGGGAGATCTAATCTGGTCATGCTACTTTGTAATGTGGCTAATCCTGTTTTCCCAAGGACCTTTCACTTGGTGAGTAACCCTGACCTTGTGCTGGCGGTGTCTATGACCAAGACTGGAAATGAAGTTTGTGGCTATCCAGTTATTGTTCAGGTAAGATACGTATGGCTAAAGATTAGTCATGGCCTTTTAATTAAATTTAAGTAAAGCTTTATGCTTCCTTGTAGTGGAAAAGAAAACTGTCTTAGAATCCTATTTGAATGTTGTTAAAATATTTACAATAGTCTGCCTAGATTTTAAATTGAACATGTTCATGTACCTCTTAATTTAGTTTAATCCAACAGATGGTGATTGTGGGCTTGCTGCATGTCAGGCACTATGCTACTTACTGAAATCAAACCCAATGGCAAGCATGAGAAATTGTCCCAACAGCATTCATGAAGCTTATGGTCTCAGTGGTGGCTGCAGGCAGGTGGATGGCTATTAGATGCACCTAAATTTGATCATCAGGAACATATGCAAGGCTCCCGTTTCTAAAGGCCTTGGCAGCTGGAGAGAAAGAACCTAGTCAGGGAGGTCTTCCTGAAGGATGCAAGATCATCAGTGTTAATTCTACCAAACGACCCATTTGAAATTCTCTTTTCATTCACTGTTGCAAATGCTTATAGCAGCCAGACAATTTATGGAGACTCCAGAGAAGTCTGGCTTCATTTGAGTTTTGGACAAAGACCTAGGAAGATCTTTTTTTCTCTTTCATATTTTTCTGTCATTCTCACATGCTTATAACCAAAACCACTCCTAAATGAGTATGTGTTTTTCCTTGCTAGTAAGGGAGAAAGTGTAGAAGCATTCCTGCTTTGCATTTACTTTCTGTGTCCTCCTCAGTATTTTCCATCCTCTTGTTGAACAGAATAGATTGCCTCCAAATAACATTTGTTTTATTCTGTGTTTTTAATAGCAACGAGGCAACTTGTTTTGCAGGCCCTGAATCCAGAATTGAGACATAGCAATCTGGACCAATATCAAAGCTTAATTAAGTCTTCTATCCTGGTGATAAATATGGACTAAAAAATTATTCTAGGAGATACAGTACATATAATAATACGTTCTTCTCTGTCAGGTGCCTCTTCAGTACAGACCACAGTGAGATACAACCCCATACACATACAATTTTAGCACCTTAATCATTTTCATAAAATTATAGATATGGATGGTTTCTCCCAAGGTTACCATTTCATAAGAAATAATCTGACCCCAAGGTAATTTGGATTACCTTTCAATAATTTTTTGTTGCTAGTGTTGTATTTATTGAAACAACTGATTTGTGAGAAAATATTAAAGTTCATGTAGAATAATAAAAATGAGGCATGGCAGGTTAATGCTACTAGACCCTTTTCTGTCCCTTGAAAATATAGTCTTTGGTTTTTCAGACCTCTGAGGGAGGCTTTATTGTCTGATCCATTAAATCAATTCTTGGGACTCATTTATTTTCTTCTTTGCTATGAAGCTCTTGCTTGGTAAAGTAGATGTTATTAATTACAAAAGTTCCTTGAGGTGTTATGATATATTTAATTAGGACTAGTCTACTGGTTTAAGTTCTGTTCAACTGAAACTATTTCTTTACTTGTACTTGAGCCATCTTTCACAATTAGAATAAATATATTGTTTCTATTACATGTTTAACTGAATGTACTTAAGAAATAAACCTCTTTGATAATCAATGAAATGTAAATTAAAATAGCAACAAGGTACTTTTTTTCATTTATTATATTCGTGTTTTGGAAATATTGCCCATTTTTTGGCAAGAATGTAAGGAAAATGGGTCACTTAGTATATTATTGGCACAAGTGCAAAATAAAATAATTTCTCTAGAAGGCATTTTGATATAATCTTTAAAATGATTTTTTTATCAGCAACTCTACTTCTAGAAATTCATCCTAAAAATTATCATGGATTTCCCAAATATTTATTTACACTATTTGTTTACTTTAGAGAAATTTTGAGAAAGAACCTACATGTTTAACTATTGAAGATTAGTAAAATATCCCTACAATGAAATGGTATATATTTTTACAAGATGTTAGAAAAAGGTTCAGGGAATATTGTTAAGAAAAAAAATTGCAGTTACCAAATTGTATGCATTTTATGATTCTATTTTTGTAAATCAAATAATGTATGTTTATAAAGATAAAAAAGATTTCGTATCTAATCACTAAAATTTCAAGAGTAGTAGTTGTTACTGCATGGTGGGGTTATGAGTAATTCTCTGCACTTTCTGGATTTATGCAATGAAAAACAAGACTACTATAACCCTCTCATGAACTCACTTGACTCCATATTTTGCCTCTTTTTTTCAGAAATATAAGCCATACAACAATGGAGCTGCCAATCAAAAGTGGCATTACATGAAAGATATAAAAGCACTTGTGGCCTTTCATAGCACTGCCTTGGATAAGGAAATTACATCAGCAAATTACGCTGGCATCTGTACATCATCTGTGATTAAAGAGGAAAACATTGATCAACCAGTAAGTGGTTCCTTCCTCTCAAAGATAAAAGAAAAATAGGGTAAAAGAGAGTAATTTAATAAAACAAGAAAAATTTTCTCCCTAGAAAACTTTATGATCATACAAGTTGAATGCTGATTTTTGAGTGAAATCACTTAGACTCTGATTCTAGTAGGAAAGAATGAAGGAAAATTGTGAGGAAAAAACCAAATTAGGTAGTTTATATTCATCTAATGTACTTAAAATTTTTATTATGGAAATTTTCATACATATTTCAAAGTAGAGAGACTAGGACAATAAGTCTTCATTTATCCACCATTAGCATTTAACTATTATCTAGGTTTTGCCATGTTTGCCAACCCCAGACATTGTATTATTTCACCTCCATATTAAGCACATACTTCTAAAAATTTTGGACATTTTCTGACTTACACTCATCATGCCATTCTTACAGCTAACAAGATTAACAATAATTCTTTGGCCATCTAATATTCTATCCTTAATCAAATTTCCCAGGTTGCCCTAAAATTTTTTTTTATGGTTTGTTGGTTTGTGTCAAGATTCAAATAAGGTCTCTATGTGACACTCAGTGGCATAGTCTGGCTCCATTTTCATATTGAATGCCCCTTAATGGGATTTGTTTACTTTCTTCTTTGTGGCATCCTTTGACTTGTTTCTCCATCCGCCATAATTTCTATAAATGAAATTGAGTCCTATAGTTATAACTAGATTTATGTTTAACATTTTTTTTTGGCCAGAATCTTCACAGGTTTTCCCACGTTTCCTATTTATCACTCACATAGGCAATGTGTGGGTTTTCCATTTTTAGTCATGATAGTTATGAGTGGGTTCAGATATTTACAACCTGATTTCATGTTTAAAAATTCCCCAATGACATTTCACTTGATGTTGCCCTCTTGTTTCAAAAGGGTCAATTTTGTCTAATTCTATCATTTTTTCCTACATTGATTAACTAAACTTTTAATAGAAGGAAGGACTTTAGCTCATCAATTCAATATCTGACCACTCAAAATGTGGTTGTAAGGGAATGTAGAATGAACACCTAATTCTTTCTATTGATCTCACTTATCTATTGCAGTGTAACAAAACCCCTGAAAATTTAGTGGCTTAAACAAAAAAAAACATTTTTTGCTTTGTGAGCCAGCGATTTGAGCTGAGGTCAGCTGGGCAGTTCTGCTGGTCTTGTCCCAGGTCACTAATGTGGCTACAGTTATCTGGTGGTTCTTTGGTAGCTGGGTGTTTTTATGGGGATGGGATGGTCAAAGACGGTGTCCCTCACCCATCTGGTGGTTGGCAGGCTGTTAGCTGGGAACATTGGTTCTTCAACTACATGGCTTCTCGAGCAGGCTAGCTCAAGTTTGTTCACATTGTGGTCTTGGGGTTCCAATGGCAGCCAAAAGAGAATAAGCTCCAATGTGCAAGCACTTCTTATGCATCTGCTTGCATCACATTTGTTAGTGCTATGTTGGCCAAAGCAAGTAACACGGCCTTTCTCAGATTCAAGGAAAGAAGAAAAGAAAGATTCTACTTCGTGACTGGTGGACCAAAATGTCACATTTTAAAAGGGCATGCAAATAAGAGTAGGATGGTTTTATTGTGGCCATCTTTACAAATAATCTGCTACAATTTCTAGTGGCCAGTTTGTAGAGTTTTAAATTGATGCCAGTTTACTTCCAACAGTCTCCCATGAGTTGCAGTTTTGTTTTTATTTGCTTGGGGTTTATTTGTTTTTATTTATATTGTTAGCATCATTAAAACTCATAGGATTTTATATATTTAAACATTTTCAAAATGTTTTAGTTATGGTTCTTTCTGTTGCTCCCTAATTGTCCCATTTTGGGGCAGTGGAGGCTCCTTCATGTTGGCTCCTGTGTCTCTTGGACATGATGATGGCTTCTTCTCTTTCAGGACACAAGATATCCCTTCATTGTCTTGTATATTTCTTGCCCCAAATCTGGAGCTGGCCATTCCTCCAAGAAGCTGATTTTGCACACAGTTTATATTCATTGGTGTTGAATTGTCATTACAGAATTTGGAAATACTTTAAATTTTTTAATTTAGCATTTTGGCTAAATTTATGCTAAATTTAAATTTAGCATAAAATTTTAAATTTAGCATTTTGGGGTGTTAAAAGTGCTATATTTATATTGTAAAATGTTCTACAGCAATGCTATAACAATTTAGATGCTCCTATATAAAGCCATCTTTGTCTCCCATTTTAGGGATACTATTATCTCTCACCTGATGGAAAGAGAAAAACTATGCTCTGCTTGGCTTGTGGACAATCCATGAGAACAGAGAAGGGATTGAAACAGTTGCTTCCAGGGGTTCCATTCCTCTGTATTTCAGGCACCAAGACTCAGAAGCCCTTCTTACAAGGGCCATTCAAGGTCATCAGTGTGGCTGAGGTATGTAATGATCTGAGCTCTGCTAATGCATGTATGGCAACAATTTGGAAACTTTGATGCATTCATTATCTGCCTTGCACTCAAGTTCATCTCCACTCATCCAATTTATCTTCCTCAGATGCACCTTTACCATTCTACCTGCATTGATTTCCTTTTCCCCACTGTAATTTAAAATGCATTGTCTATTAATAGTTCAATAGACTCTTTGAAGTTAATTGGGCACTTCTGCAGCTTTAATCATTTACTGACATATTTCACTGTTCATAGTGTTGCTTTTAGGTGAGGAAGTAACCGCAAATCTTTACTTCATGGAACAGTTTTTTGCCTATATCCACAGGAAAAAAACTTCCTTTTACTAGTATGGAACATTTCAGGGGGAATTGGACGTGTTGTTGTTAATGACTGTTCAGATTGGGGTGCCTGAATTCACACATCCATGTCTAATAGTATTTAGACTTCATGGAGGGGAAAAAAAAAAAAAAACACTCTGCCACTTTCCTATAACTATAGAAGTAAAAACTAAGGGAACTTACACGCCTGAATAAAAAGGAGCGATTCCTAAAAGGTGGAATATCTTCCAGCCTGGTGTGCTCTTCAGGGCTTGCTCACCCCATCCCCAGATCACCCTCCTCCCTTCTCTAATCCTGACACGCATTGGAGTTAAAAAAAACAGGTTACAGAAAACATCAACAGAAGCAATAGCTTTGAAGGAGAAAGGAAGTCAGTCCTCTGGGAAACCTGAAAGCATCTGGTTTGCTTTGAAGATAGTGGGATAATGTTAAGGAGGTGGTGAGGAGTTGGTTGGAAAGAATCCCCAGTGCTACAGAATTTCAGACAGAACTTTGCCCTCAGGGCAGCATCCTAGTTTGGGATGAAAAGGGAAAGCAAAAGAGTGGTGTTCACCACCCTTACTACCATGTGGTTAAAGCTACAACCATTCCCCTCCCCATTCATCAACATCTTCCACCATATGGTGGAATCATCCTAAAGTTAAAAATTCAGAGGCTATCTATAATGTTAGTGTATGATTACTTTAATCCAGGCTCTCTCTGGCCATTGCAGAGAGAAAGCAAAAAACAAATAAACAAACAAACAAAAACAAGAGAATGCCAAAAACACAAGCCAGATGCCCAAAGTCACCTAGTGGCTCAGTGACAGGCCTGGGAGGGAACTGAAGAATTTGGATCCAACATCCTTCCGACTCTAGTATTCAATATCTCTAACACATGAAGAGAGCATTGCAAAATGTAGACACCACACACACATACACACATTTATTAAGAGACTGAAGTGTAGCAAACTAAAACAAGAAAGTCTGAGTAAATGTACAATTTATTTTTAAAAATAAATTAGGTTGATTTGTCATGTGACGAGGCTGAAAAAACTCTGAGTTATTACCAAGCACGTCTATTGTCTTTACGAATGAAGACCTGCACGCAAGCTGCATCTCACAGTGGCATGGCAGCCACACACCAGAAGGCAGTGAAAATAATTGCATACAAAAATGGGGATGGATATCGTAATGGGAAGTTAATTGTGGCTGGAACATTCCCCATGGTAAGTGGCTATCACTTAAATGCTGTTTGTATCTTCAGAGGTAATGATAATGGCAATTCTTCTGACAAGAAAAAGCAGTGGGATTGAGTGATAAATGTCTCTGGCCAGATTCACCAGTTAAAGCTGATGAGATCAAGATCTCTGTTTACTGAAAGACATTTTATTTGATTGTATGTCAGTGGGTACAGACTTAGAAACCCAGAATTCAGTTTTTAGATTGGCTCTAGAGTAGAGATCTGTAAGAAAGAGGAAAACAAAGCTACTAGATTTTCTTCCTTCTTATGATAGACGGAATGCCTTTTTCTGCCTTGTTTCTCATGCCAGCTTCAAGTTGTATGTCATCTGAATCATCCAATAGATGCCACCTCATTCACCATCTGGAGTATCTGGGCATTTATTTGTTGATAGGATGTTTTGTTTTATTTTCAAATTGGGGAAGCAGGGGTTGTGTTAGGAGCAACTATGTGGTCTGCCTTGGGGGCTGCTCCTCATAGTCATAGGAAGAGAGGAGAAGCTAGAAGGCCCAAACCCAGCTTTGTCCTTGCACTACTTGGTGATTATCTTGACTATTCACTCTGGCCAATGCCTTTAACAATGTATTTTACAAGTGATGTTTGATATGATACGGAGTTACCCTGCAGACTTCTTTGCAAGCACACGTATCTATTCCCTCACCTCTTTGGTTGAAAATATATTTTTAAATTAAGATATTGTTATTCAATAGACTAAGCAAAATACAGAAGTTAGCAACTCCAAGATTCACCCAGGGATCCACAGCTGGCTTTTATGGTCTTGGGCAAAAATTTTAATCTTTCATCCTGTTTTTCCATCTGCACAATGGAGGTAATAATACCTGTCAGTTCTTGGTTTGAAGGTTAACTACTTATTTATTTTGAAGCGGTTTATCAGTATGAAGTATTACAACAGTTGTATAACTTATAAAGCAACAAATTTGAAAGTGGATTTTTAAGTTGAACATTTCTTAGAAGATAATCTGATGCTAAAATGTATTAATATATGTCAGCTGCCATGTTACATTTTTGGAGCTAGGAAATTTACAACTGGATTGGACTACTGTTGTGAAATTAGGTAGGTAGAACAATCTAATATGGAAAATAATCTCTGATCAAAGATCAACATCAGTAGTAATTCAGCTTTCTATTTTCTCAAAGTGGATGATTTTTTTTTTCAGATTTTTAGAATGACAAGCTTTTAATGATTATTCCCAACCCTATCACTTTTGCCTGTCAGATTCTTACTGCCTGTGTTATCTAGCTTCTTACAGAATGCACGGAAAAACTCAGGCTTGCCAGAGCCGCCTCCAAAGTATATACCAAAGATGGAACTCCAATCTTTACCTTGCGTGATTTGGTTTTATGGGCTCTAGATGACTCCTTTCTCCAGAGAGACTCTGAGAAACAAAAGCAAGATGCAGCTCCTGTTGGAAAAGAACAGATAATTGTTGAAAGTATGGAAGGTTGGCTACAATCTACAGCATTTAGCTGATTCTATTTATGCTTGATCATAAAAATGTTAAACATGATTATTTCATTTAGTCACTTTTTCCAGAATTTCAAAATCATAGGAAGCTACTTTTGTGACCCAAAGAGTGTCAATGAAATTCTCATGTTGTTTTTACCTTGCAGAATTATAAGAAAAATTAAAAATTAATGCAAATTTTGATTTTAGCACTAAAACAATAAATAAATTATGTATAATTAATAAAATATGTTTGACAGTTCCGCTACTTTATGGAACATAATCATTTTTTGTTCTTACTCAGAACCAAAACCAACTGGAGACCACTTGAGAAATGGGGGCTGGATCAATGGAAATCTCTTGCTACTATTAGAAGGGAAGGTGTCCTCTCTATCTCTCTGCGCTTCTACCATCATTCAACTCCCCTTCCCTGTCTCTGTCTTCTCCACTCTTTACTAGCTCCCACAAGCTCCCGTCAATGTCCATCTATTGTATTTTTGGGCACATTGCATGGTAACGGTCTGTTTAGCTGTGTGTGTCTTATTAGACTATTTGCAGTTTGAGGGCAGTGACAGTGTGTGTCCCAAACAACAGTCTGCTAAAAAAAAGCAAGTCTTGGTAGTAGTGATTCAGTAGTTTTCTCAGTATGAGATCACGGTTGTATTGAGAGGCATAATTTAGAAGTTAAGAACTTGGGTTTTGGAGTCAGAATACCAGGGTTCAAATCCCAGCTTTGTCACTTGCTAGCTCAATGGCCTTGGGTAAGTTGTTTAACTACTCTTGTATTCCAGTTTTCTTATTTATAATGTTAGGATACATTTTAAACTATATTTTACTATTTTAAGTTTCTTACATAAAATTTACATGTTTTACTATTTGTAAAATAGTCAATTACTTCATGGATATAGATATATATATATATTTAATATGTCTCCATTACATAGATAACATTGTCTTAGTCCATTAGTGTTGCTGTAACAGAATACCACAGGCTGGTTAATTTATAAAGAACAGAACTTTATTTCTCACAATTCGGGAGGCTGCGAAGTCTAAGAGCAAGACGTTGGTAGATCTGGTTGTCTGGCGAGGGTTACATTCTCCAGAGGGGAATAATGTTTTGTCCTCACACAATGGAAAGCAGAAAGGGCAAAAGAGCCCAGCACTGTGTGAAGCGTCTTTTATAAGGGTCTTAATTCTATTCACGAGAAGAGAATTATGATCTTATGATCTAATCACCTCTTAAAGTCTCTATCTCTCTTAATATCATTACATTGACCATTAATTTTTAACACCAGAATTTTGGAAAGCACACATTCAAACCATAGCAAATATATCTATATATCTATATTTTCACTGGAACACATATATATGTGTGTGTATATATATATATATTCAATATCTGTATTCATTTGATCATCATTAATATATTCATTTGGTCCGCATAAATATGAATATATATTCATATGTGTATTTATATATACACATGCACATATATAACTTAGAACAGTGCCTGGTTGATATTTACCAAACATTCAGTGAAATTACTTATCACTTTTGTGTATAGGATATTACTTATTTCGTCTTCAAACGAGTTTTAAGAAATAATTGTGTGAACATTTAATGCCTAGCTGATTGCTGAAGCATATATTTCTGCCTTTATTTGGCATATAGAATATCTGAACTTCAGGTTTTATAAAATTATAATTTAAAACACTATTCTTTAAATTCTTATTAAAAGCCTGGTTGCAGTAATATTATTAATGTAGGACTATCAAAAGGGCATTCTTTTGATTCCGTCTCTTCCTCCCTATATTCTAAAGGGTATGCTTAAATCAGGCAAGGCCATCAGTAGACTGCTCCCTTTATGGAATTGTGGCTTGGTGTTATGCCATCAGTTTGCATTAAGGAACTTTAAAGAAACAGCTGTTGGTCAGAATTCAACATGGTGCTTACTATGCAGGCAGTGGTTAAGAGCACAGCCTTCACTGGCAGATGGCCTGGATTCTAATCCTTACTCTCCCACCACCCAGCTATGTCACTAAAGCTCAGTTACCATATCTGTAAAAGACGACTGATAATAAGCCCTAACTCAGAGTCTTAGAGTATCATTTTTAGAATCACATGAGACGATATATGTAAAGGCCTTAATAAAATACCCAGTATATAGTAAGTTCTCAATATATATTAATTTTCTATTGCAGGGTACTGTTAGCTATATCACAAATAGTCTCTTTATGAGGACCCTTAAATGAATTTTTCTCAGATCTCAGAACGAAGAAAAGTGCATTTTCTATGGAATTTCTCACTATATGTGGGCCATATGAAGCTGGAAATTGTGTTTTTCTCTTTGCTTTGGCCATTAGGAAACTCAGAGCCAAAATGTTGCTTTATCTCTAGCCAGTAAAAACAGGGTATTTATTTCCGTTTAACAGTAAAAATAATATCTAACATCTATTTGATGCCTATCAGAGTAAACAGGCCAAACACTATTTCTTCTAAGCATATTACTTTGTTCTTTTAAAAAAAGAAACAGCAGAATGAGATATTATTATTCATTTAAAATATACCTGATGTAAATGACGAGTTGATGGGTGCAGCACACCAACATGGCACAAGTATACATATGTAGCAAACCTGCACGTTGTGCACATGTACCCTACAACTTGAAGTTTAATAATAATAAATAAATTAAAAAAAAATAAAAAAATAAAAAAATAAAATAAAATAAAATATAAGAACACTAAGGTACTTTATCCCTGGCTTTAGTCTATTCCTATACTCCTTTCCCCTGTGCTTGATTTTTTATCTCTATTTTTTCCATTTTGGAGTAAGTATTTTGGTAAGCCACCTCAAATTTCTTTCAGAACTAGGTGATGTGTAAGAAAGAAATTAAAACATATTTACAATCTTATTAGCTTTTTTTGTTGTTGTATATGAAGTTTCTGACCAAATTTATGCATTAGTCTCTGATTTTGGCATTGCTTGTTTAATCAAATTATTAATGAATAATAAAATTTGAATAAACAAATTCAGAAAGCAAATTTATTCATTATTCATTGAACAATGATAAATGTGTCATTTTTCCACCAGAAAATCTAAGAATGAAAGTGAAAAACAGATTATTTCCAAAATCTGTGACATCTGATAGTTTGGATGGTATAGATAAGTCTTTGCTTACCCTCATCCTCAGAAATCCTATTGCCATCTGGGTATCTTCTGGTGAACCATTTCTACCTCCAAATGGTAAGTTTTTTGTTTTTGCTTTCTTTCAAGCAAGTGTATGAAGGGAGAGAGAAATACATTTTATGCCATCATAAGAAAATGAATTAAATGGGTATAATATCAACATAATAACATCAAATTTGCACAAAGAACAGAAGGTTCATCAATTAATATGTGCACAAGGATAGCTATACTCTCGTATTTGCACTATTGCCTGTTTTTTTATTACTGGAATGGAGTATTCTGCGTGGAAAAATGTCTAATTCAGTTGATAAAGAGATCCTTGGTCTATAAGACTGAGAATAATGGTATACATTAGAAAATAACAAATGAGTTTAATTCACACTGAGGACGACCTGTCTGCACATTTTCATTTTTAAGAATTGCACCCTTTAGGCAGTAGGTGGATGTTTAAAAAATGAATGGTTCCAAGCCAGGCTTTCATCACCTCCAAACAGTTTGTGGAAGTGGAAAATGAAATATGGCTATTGCATATGGTAAATCTATATAATAAAACAGCATCATTCCTCTTCTTTTTTTTTACCCCTCCTCCATTCCATAAAGAGATGCCTTAAGCCCTGTCATCTTTCAAATGAGGTTTCTTTTAATGACCCTTACCTTTTAATTACTTGTTTCTAATTGAATCTATTTCTTTGAGTAGAAAGTTGTTTATAAATTATTGGTGTGCATGATAAATGACTGTTGATAAAGTATCTTGTATTTGTATTATTCTAGCTTTGCAGAAAGCAGAAAAATTAGAGAAACAGAACTGGCTGAAAAAGGACAGAATTTTGGCTGATCTAGATACCATGAGACACAAAATGAGACAGTTAAAAGGTCAGTATGAACTATACCAAGCATAACCATATTTAATTCAAAATGTAACCTCAAATTGCTAATGGTTATTTTCTACCATTAGATACCAAGTGTTTAACTAAGGAGCATTATATAAATATTGTTTTACATAAATCATTTGAGCAAAGTCTAAAACCTAATAATGTATTTTTGGTCTGATTTTGTATCTGTAAATTTTATATTAAAATGAATACCAAATGACTTCTGCATATGTTTTAAAAATTAGGAAAGTACCTGGGCAAGAGAAACTATCCCGTTGTTTTGAAATAACCTCTCAATGGACATTTTGTGGGCTTTGGAATTAATCTTTAAACAAACCTTGCTGTCATTCCTTGGGTATTGCTAGGGAAGAATTTTTTTTTTTTTTAAGCAGTCTGAATGAGGAAGTACTAAAATCTTCAGAAGTCAGTGTCAGTAACTTAAAATGACTCCTTTTTACACAGCATGAGACATGCTAATCACAGTCCAAAGTGATCAATTATTGGTCTCCTCCTTCTATTCTCTTTAACACAGAATCTTAGGTTTCTGACCTTATACTATTCCCAGGACTTGAGATACAAATGGTTCTTTGGGGAGAAACAGTGTACTATGGACTTGAGTCTAGGAAGGAACACATTTCAAACTCAGTAATTGCCACAGCAGAATTTCAACTCCTGATGCTGTCTTGTATTAAAAGCATATGAATCTTGCTTCACTAAATAGCAGAACTAGTCCTAACTGCATTAGACTGAACTGTGGTTTGAAATGGCTATTACCAGCTATTACCAAAAAGAAGAATTGGGTGTAAGTGAAAATAATTACTACTACTAACTTCTACCACTCCTACTATTAGACATTTTCACTTGAATGTTCCATAGACATGTCCAAAACTACAACTGTCATATTACCCCAACACCAATGCCTCCTTTGTTTCAACTAGTAGTGGGTTCTACTACCATCTACCCAGGTGTTCCTCCCCAAAAACCTGGAAGTCATTCTTGGCATCTCCCTCTCTCTCACCTTCCCCAAGCAAATATTCAGTAAGCCTTGTTACTTTGAATCTGTTAAGTTGATCTCAAATGAATGTCACTCTCTCAGTCTATATATCATTATCCAAGTTCAAGCTACCATCATCTATATATTCCTTGGACCATTGAAACAGTTTTCTAACTGGTCTCCCTGCTTCCGTCTTGACAACGGTTTCCATTCTATAAATAATGGTGACATTCTGAAGTTGAAGTTATCACGAAAAAATGCAAAGGTATTATGATACTCCAGGCACAAAATCTTGCAAGGTTTCCTATTATCTTTAGGACAAAACCTTGAAACTCCTTAGCATGGCCCTTTATAATCTTGTTCTCTGTAAGTTCCTATTTCTTCTTGCCCACTACATTTCATACATTTTAACTTTCTTTTAGCTCCCCAGACATACCATGCACTCTCTTAACTCTGAGCTTTGGCACATTTTAGTTCCCTCTACTTCAAAGTTTTCCCTCTGCTGTCCTCTTAGGTTGCTCCTACTCATTCTGTGTTTTTAAGGTTACTTGTTACTTCTTCCCATAAGCCTTCCTCAGCATTCCAAGCCTAGGGTAATGTGGTTTATCACACTCTGAACTTCCCTCCAATAGTCATCATCACATTATTATGATTACCTGTTTATGTGACAGTCTTTCCTATGCTAGATTATACATTCTATACCGTTCTCATTTGTTCTCTGAATAGTTGTAGAATAACTGATTTAAAGAATAAATGAAATTGCAACCATTCGCTGCAGGGAGTTTCCTAAGCTCTATTCCTACATCAACTTAAATGCTCAAAATAGCACCTGGTATGGCTGCCTTTATTAAATTCTGATTTTATATTGTCTTCAGTTGTTATTACAATTAAGTATCTTTTTTTTTTTTTTTTTTTTTTTTTGAGATGAAGTCTCGCTCTGTCGCCCAGGCTGGAGTGCAGTGGCGCCATCACAGCTCACTGCAAGCTCCACCTCCTGGGTTCACGCCATTCTCCTGCCTCAGCCTCCCAAGTAGCTGGGACTACAGGCGCCCGCCACCACGCCCGGCTAATTTTTTTGTATTTTTCGTAGAGACGGGGTTTCACCATGTTAGCCAGGATGGTCTCCATCTCCTGACCTTGCGATCCGCCCACCTCGGCCTCCCAAAGTGCTGGGATTACAGGCGTGAGCAACCGCGCCCGGCCAAGTATTTTAAAAATTTTAAGTTAATTTGTCATCATCTACAATACTACTGTTTAAAACTCTGTATTTTGTCAGTGATGTCCATTCTGGAGGGATCCATTGATGTGGTTTCTCTTAGAATTTAATGCTAACATAAATCTTGTCTCTATTGACAAAGTGGTATGTTTTCTGCTATTAAATATAAATTCAACACATGCTTATAAAACATTTACCCTCATGAAGGCCTTTTTCTAGCTGGTGAGATTATGAGGATCAATAAGAACAAGTCTTAGTTAACTGCAAAGCCTATAAGATTGTGAGCTTCCTCAGGGTTGGCTAAAACAGGAGGTATGAATAGTTGCTAAATCAGCTATTCTATGTTATCATAGCCATTGGTAATTGCAACAAGCATTTATTGAGCATATGCTATGTATAAAACACTGTGCTAAGCTGATTTTACATTTCATTGGTAAGCATGAACATTGCTAATATTAATCATAATACTAGTAATTACTTTGTTGGGTTTTCACAATTAAGTAGCAAATGTCAAATCTTTACTACATGGTTAGTATATAATAAATACTCAATAAATATTGGTGTAAGGATTCCTGAAAAGGCAACTCATTTACCCACTTGGGGTTTTATGAAACTGATAAATAAATAAAACTCAGGAATGGCAGATCAGGCTAAATTATCAATGTTACATGTAAAGGCAATGTTGGAGCATTTAATTTAGTGTGAAAGTGAAATAAGTCTGCTAACTGAAACCCTAGATTGGGTAGGCTTACCCTTGCAGACACAGGTGATTCTGAATAAGGGTGGGCCTCCCAATAAGACAGGGAATGGGGAGAGCTGTCTGGGCAAGACTCATCCCATGAAAGAACAGCAAAGCACTTGTGTTCTCTAGTTTCTAAGAGAAACAATGGGCCAAGAATCCCCAGCTTATTTTCCCCAATTTCCAATCAGAAAAATAATCTGCAGTATCAGTGGGGCTCCATCCTCAAAATGAAACAATAGGACTAGGGAAGAGGCATGTCTCATTAATAGTTAGCGATTATAATTACTATCCCCTGATCTCATGTGAAATAAAATAGGATATATGGGAAAATGTAATAAGAAAATACAAAATAATTCATTCAATACATTATTGCATGGTTTCAATTTATGTTATTCATACCTATGTAAATAATAGTTTATCATAAAAACCTTTCCCCAAACTAAAATCTTTTGTGATGACATTGTCTCTTCATGAAAATTATAGCACAAATGCATTCATTTCCTTAAGACCATTAGAAGCAAGTTGACAAAAAATGCATAATGTTTTTTCCTGTTTTCTATACTCAATTCCTAGCTCTCAACAGTATAAATGATAAACTATTGCTGAACTCTCTGTAGATGAGCAAAACTGTATTGTTCAAAATGCATTCTAAATAAAATATTTGTTGAAATGTTATTTATAAAAATGTATGGGCCATAAATTAATGTTATCTGCATTCTATAAATAGAGTTAGGTAAAAACTATATTTAGTATAAATTTGCGTTATGTATTTGTGAGGTGCCACCATGGTCTTCTCAAAAGTGCATTGCTTAATGGCATTGTCACTGTAACTCACTGACTGATTGATTCAATTATGTTTTCTTCACATCCATAAATTGCATATGAATCCTTATTAGAGACATAGCATTCTGTTTTCCCTGAAAAGTCATTGTTGCCATTTATTTTTATGCTGGATCTCTTTCCATAAACTTGAGCTAGAAGAGCACAAGTGCTTTATACTCTATAAGTACCGGATTATTTTCAGTTTTGTTTGAGTCATGGTCTGAAAATCTTCACATTAAAATTATGTTGGCAACAAAATTAAGACTCAACTTCATTTTAGTAATTCCGTTGTTTTATGAACCTAAGTGTTACTCTCTCTAAGAAGCCTTCTGTGGTGCCTCAGACTAGGTTAGCAACTCCTGTTAGGAGCTGTTATAGCTCTTGTGCTTTCCTGGTGCAGCCCAATTACAATCTACTATTGGTGTAATCATTTCCTTGATGTCAGCCTTCCCAACCAAACTTGAGGCAGGAACTCATTCTCCAACATGTTTGTGCTTGCATTATCCAACACAATGCCTCACCCATGGCTGTTGCTTAATATAGGTTTTTGGAAAGAAGATACAAGAGAAAGCATTATTTTTACTTAATAAGTTTAGAGATCAATATGAAATGCGGGCTGATTACATCTTCAACACAAAAAGAAAACAATTTCATAAGTGTGACTTTTTAAACCTGTTTTATAACTATTTTAAGTGGTCTAGTAGAAAGAACACACAAATTGGAATCACCACACTTATTAAATTATGCCTGTGATTCTTTAGAATACAGTATTCCAATAAATATTTTCTCTTACTACAACTTCCTAACAGCATAAAGGGCACAGCAGAGGTGTCAGAAACTAATCGTGCTCGCAGGGTATTATTAGATAGAAAAAAAGATTCCTGTCTCTTGGGTTAATATTATTTTAGAAATACTTAATCCCCAGGCTGCTAAGCTAATTGTGGGGGAAAGGCTTATTATTAGTAAAGAGAACAAAACATATGTTCCAACACTAGAAGGATGATAGGGCTATACAAGGTCATGAATTCTATTTGACTAAATTACCGCTGAACCATATCATGGATGCGAGGTTGGGGCCAGTGTGGAAATCAGCATGTTATCTTCCTCTTCTATCTGTAGAGTACGTATGTGAATCCTGGCTATTTAAAGTCTGAAGCTTCCATATGAAGAGGTATTGTTAGATATTATTACCTTAGGCATCTTTGCTTTTATGATACATTTAGTATTTTAGCCTATGCTCCTGTGTGGAATGATTTATACACAGAAAGCCAAATCAATTTATTTGAAATCTGAAAGCCTATCATCAGAAACAAAATTTCTAGGACTTGTTTCCTCAGGGCGGCGAGTAGCGGCATGTCAGCCAGCCACCATGGTTCCTACCAAAAGCCCTGTGCAGCCTGTGGTGGTTGAAGGAGGCTGGACCGAACAGGCTCAAGAGGAAATTAAACTCATGGAACTTATAAGACATACAGAGGTATGTTCTTTGGGATTCTGGACATTAAAGATGCTGCCCTTTTTATGAGTATTTAAAAGTACAATATTGAATTTTAAAATGATACTGTTAATATATTCTCAGCATCTGATCAGTTATGACCATATAAGCATATGCCAAGCATTGAGTTGGCATTTGAAGGGTAGCTGTCTAAAAGACAGCCAGCTCATATGAGGGTCTGTTTTGTTTGAATGGAGACCAGAAATTATGACCTTAGCAAAGAAGAGAAAAAGGCCCAGTGGATATGTACAAAGGTAATTGTAATAATTGTAGTCAAGTCGAGCCTTCTGGCTTCATTGCTCATTACTCCTAAGGGCATGTCTCAATATGTAAAAAGAGCAAGGAGCAAAATACTAATTGCAACGGAGACATTCACAAGTGAAGAATTAAAAAAGTGGTTTCAGTCCAATTGGTTAATCAGTCAGGATTGCCAGACATAAAAAAGTCGAAAAGATAAAGGTCAGCTGTTGAGAGAGGACCAGGGAGAGAGACCAGGGAAAACTTTTTTGCTTTGTGAAGTTTTTCATCAGAATGATATATTCCTATTTAATAAGATTTCTCAAATTCGTGAAATGTGTTCAATCTAAATCTTAGGCACGTGCCCAAGTCAAGGTTACTAGAACAAAAGGAATTGACATCCCTAGAAATATGACTTCGTGCCAAGCTAAGAAGGATAAATCACTGACCAGGGAATGAATGCAAAGCATTGAACTAGGACATGCTTGAGGTAGAATAAAAAGCTGCCTGGCAGGGATCTGGCAAAGTATAAGGGTGGCTGCTGTGTTTTAAAAGACAGTAAGTAAGAAACAACACTCACATATACTCTTGTATGCATTTATTGGTTAGAGGAAATGATGTGATTCTAATAAAAAACTCATTTGTTAGATGCAGAGAAATCTCTCAGTAGGGGAAACATCATGCAAAAGTCCAAAAATACTTCTCTCTTCATTTCTTCACATTATAAATGAAAGTTAAGTGCTTTGCCAAAATGATTGCCTTATTATTATTATTCTAATGATTGCTCTTGCCTTTAGTGTTTCATTGAAACAAGGGAAATTTACTAGCGTCAGTGACAAGAGAGGCTAATGTACTTAATAGTTACTTCCTAAAATTTTTTCCATATAATTTATTAATTACAAGATATTTCTGGATTTTATCACATTCTTCACAAACACTATACAGACAGTTCTCTAAACACAACATTCTCTGGGTTTTTCTTGACAGGCACACCTTTCTGAAATTCGAGCAATGGACTCCAAAAGAAATTTTCCAGTTGCAACTAAACCTATAGCAGTCAAGCCGAGCAGCCTGTATAAGCAGCCCAACACAAAACGAGTGTGGATTTATCTAAATGGAGGCAGACCTGAAGATGGCACTTATGCCTGGGGCAAAACTGTTTCAGAGGTAAATCTAGTGTGAAAGGAGTGTTTCATAGGCCTGAGTTCAAATCCCAGCTCTGATATTTCTAGATTGTTTAGTCAAGCAAATTACTTCTATGAACCTCATCTTCTTGTCCATAAAATAGTAACAGCACTTTCCTCATAGGATTGATCTCATGATTGAATGAGCTTATATGTGTGAAAATGTGAAGTTCAATGTGTCTGACATAGATGTGAATCTGAATATGACACTCGTCCAGCAGAGAACTGTGCCAGTTCAACCCACTCCTACCACAGAGTAAAATCTAAACTTTAAAGCAATTTTCTTCATTCATTTTATTTTATTATTCTTATTATTTATTTATTTGAGACAGAGTCTTGCTCTGTCACCCATGCTGGAGTGCAGTGGCATGGGTCTTCATCCGTTGTAAATCCAGTTCACAAGAGTGACTTTTTTCACCCATGATGAATCATTTACTAGATATGTTCTATCTAAGAAAAACAATGATACTCATTAGAGAAAGCCTATCATGTTCTTACTACCCAGAGTCCTAGAGCTGTTAGAATTCTCACTTCACAAAGTTAAAATATTTACTAAGGAAAGAGGAGTAACAGTTCATTCTTGGTTTGTAATTTCAGTCAGGGATACAATTCTGACATTTTTTTCTTAATCTTTAAATGAAGACTTTAGACCCATAATAAATGAATTCGGGTAATCTTTCTAAAAGTCTTATCTGTTGCAATGATGTCTTAAATAGTAGTTTGTCTTTTTTATTTTGTGAAATGTTTTCATGAAATTTTTCTGGGACAAGTGAAAGTCATGTAGAGATATCGTTGGTGGTGGGGGATATGGATAGGCAAGATAGTATAATAGACTGGCTTGGAGAAGTTCATGGAGGCTGGTGAGGGCACATAGAGTAGCAGGGCCACCTGAGATGGTTCTGCCCCTGGACATTAATCCAGTTTCAAAGTGTAAGGGAGACCACTCTTCTCTGACAGGGAATTTGACTAAGAATGGTGAGAGCAACTTCATATCAGAAGTTGACAAACAATTTGTTGTACTTGAGAAATAAGAGATTAAAATGTGAAAATGGATACCCCAAATTAGGAACATAAGTAAAGGATCTTCATACATGTGGGGGAAAAAGGAAAGTGATTTTTTAAAAAGATAGTGAAAGCTTTTTCAGAAGAGAGCTACCTAGAAAAAGCACTATAACAAAGCTGAAATGTCTTTCCCTGCTGGTTTCTTAAAAAATCAGGGTTCATGTTGTAGATGCTAAATGTTAAAATGCACTTAAGTATTGCACCTAGAACTGATAAATTTCTGAGAGAATATGCAATGATTAATAAATGGGTAAAGGGTAGATCTGAGACAATGGGGGAAGATAGCCTATCAGATTCAGGGTAGAAAAAGCTTACAATAACTTTGATGAAGATTACTTATATCTATATCTAACTGGGGGATGACTTTTTGATTTATGTGACTCTCGTGTAGCATATAAAAGGCATTTCTAACTCTTATTCCATGATCATATAATTTTTTATGAGCTTTATATATGAACAGTCCTATGCTAGATGCTGTAAATTATTTTTCTAATTTATGTCTGTGGAAATATTTTTGTAAACTTAATAGTGCTATATAATTGACAGCTTAACATCCATAGTAGTAAGTAGCAGTGGAGTCTGTGGTCTCCTTAAATTAATACGTCAGATTGACAGAGTTTTAGAAAATATATCTAAGGTTTACTTGGGAATGTAGAGAAATGGGCACTCTGGAAGTACAACTCTTTGGAAGACAATTTGGCTGTACATAGCATAAGAAAGTGTATTTGCAGAACTTGATCCCAAGGATATTTTCATGAACCTAGGCAACAATTATTTATTAAGAATATTTATTACAAGCCTATTTCTAATAGAGCTAGATTATGAATAATTCAAAACCTCATCAATGGGGAGATGATTAAATGAATTATAATACATAGGATGAAATACAATAACTCAAAATTACCTTTTTGAAATAATAATAAAGATGTTCAAGATATACTTAGTGAAAGAAGCATTATGTAAAGCATGTGGAGTTAAGTTCTGCACATATATATGCACAGATATAGAAAAAAGACTGGAATGATTTTATTAGATGGCCATATTATGGGAGACCTTTATTTTTCTTTCTTGTATGTTTTCCTATGTGTTCTATATTTTTTATGGTGAGTCCAGATTTTTTTAATAAGGAAAAGTTGTATGATAGGGAAGCTGATACTACTCTGAGAGAAGTACTAATAGAATGTGATAAATGTAAAATTAGCAGTGAAGGCAGGAATCTCAGTTGAGAAAAGGGAGCACAGTGCCCACATAGGGTGACAGACAAGGCTCTACAGAGGAATCAATAAGGAACTCTGATGGAACCTGAGAAATGGAGGGGATTCAACAGCTTAAGCAGAAAAAGCATTAACAAGGATGAGGGGCCCCCATCTAAATATAGGTGTTAGAATTCACAAAGTATATTAAATAGGTGCCCCATGGACAGAGAAATTGGAAGAGATAGATGTGACCAGAAAGATTGTTTAAAAGCATATGGTAGACCCCATATACATAGGTATTAATTTTCTCAGTCAGCCATAACAAAATACTATAGACTGAGTATTAAACAGCAGAAACAACAGAAGTTGATTTTCTCACAGTTCTGGAGGCTGGATGTCCAAGATCAAGGTGCCAGCCGGATTGGTTTCTGGTGAAGCCTCCCTTTTTGGCTTACAGACAAGCCACCTCCTTGCTGTGCTCACACATATTCTTTCCTTTGTGTGTGTGTGGAGAGAGAAAGGACTCTGGTGTCTCTTCTTTTTCTTGTATATAAAGAAACCAGTCTCACTGGAATAGGGCTCCACCCTTATGGCTTTATTTATCCTTAATTACCTCCTTAAAGGCTCTATCTTCGAATATAGTCACAGTAGGAGTTAGGGCTTAAACATGAATTTGGAGTGGACACAGTTTAGTCCATAACACTATCCTAAACTCAACTACTTAAACTACTACTTGCCTGTAAATAAAGAAATGGAATGGCGAAATCAATGTTTTGGGAAGATTAATGTGGCCTACATGTGTAAAAGGACACTTAGAGAATATCTAGAAACTTTTAATCTCTTCCTTTTTCTTTTCCATGCTGTGTATTTTTGTCTTTAGGGGCTTGCATGCGGTTTTTTGTCATCAGTTAGGAATGTATCCTTTCACACTATCAGGCTGTATAAAATGCCTCTGGAGGATGGACTGTGTGTGAGAAATGAACAGGCAGCAGGAAGGGTAGGGTTTGGATTTCACTGGGGTGTCTGGCTAATGACACTGACTCCAAAGAAGCTCAGAGTTTCAGTGTTTGAGACTTTTGCTGGAAGAATGAGAAACAGAGCACATTTCAAAGTGCTTCTCTCTACCTTCTATAATGAAACCCCCAGATGGTGTTTGAATCCCATCCAATGTGGACTTTCTCTCAACTGCTTTCACTGCTGTGGCTATTCTGGATGATTTAGCCGTGTTCTTCCCACCCACTCTTTGAACATTGCTAGACTTACTCTCGTCTCCAACTCTTGTCAGCTCATCAGTCATCAGTGCACCAAGGCAGCTCTTTCTCCAGGGTTAGTGGCTCTTTCTGCAGGACCAGCATCTTTCTCTGATTTATGATTGCCTGTGCCCCTCCTTCTATGGTCCTGAAGCTTTTGTCTTCTCCCATTCCTGCGGCAGCTCTCTGATTCTACAGAATCTCGAAATCAGAGTGTTCTTTCTTGGCCCAGGAATGGTTCTGAATGCATGAGCAGAAGCTAAAGGAATGAAAAAGAGGTCTTTCTGATTTGGATAGGCAAGTACCTCACACCCACAGGGAGTATGCAATAGTTCTATGATGCCCATGTGCCCCACCTGAGGAGACCTGGTCTATGAAAACAAAACTCAGAAAACAGACTGTGGGTGAGCAATTATTATGGAACAGTGTTTCTTCATCATGAACTTTGTTATTGCAAAAACATTTAACTTACAGTATACACTTTAAAGAGGATACTTCAGTAAGTTTAGATACATTTGAAAAACAGAATTAAGAATGTCTTTGTTTTGTTTTGTTTTTTTGTTCGTTTTCGTTTCGCTTTTGTTGCCCAAGCTGCAGTGCAATGGCGTGATCTCATCTCACTGCAACCTCTGCCTCCTGGGTTCAAGCGATTCTCCTGCCTCAGCCTCCAGAGTAGCTGGGATTATAGGCATGCACCACCACGCCCTGCTAATTTTGTATTTTTAGTAGAGATGGGGTTTCTCCACATTGGTCAGGCTGGTCTCGAACTCCCGACCTCAGGTGATCCACCCACCTTGGCCTCCCAAAGTGCTGGGATTACAGGTGTGGGCCACCGCGCCCAGCCTAAGAATGTCTTTAAAGGTCGTAATATGACTAGATATCTTAGAACCTAATTGTACTGAAAATGTCTACTTTTTTTCTTTTTAACTCATCTGTATTTGTTACATTCTTTTAGGGCAGAATGTGACTTGGGCACTACATTTCCATGCACAAGCCTCACTGAGTTACTTTTTGAACAGCTTTACAAGATGCCTAGGTAGGCTTGTAATTTTGTTCCTCTAAACAATTTTTTTCTCTTTCTCTTTCTTTCTCTCTTTCTTTCTTTCTCTTTCTCTCTTTCTCTCTCTCTCTCCTTCCTTCCTTTCTTCCCTTCCCCCCTTCCTCCCTTCTTTCCTTCCTTCCTTCCTTCCTTCCTTCCTTCCTTCCTTCCTTCCTTCCTTTTCTTCCTTCCTTTCCTTCTTTCCTTCTTTCTTGATGGAGTTTTGCTCTTGTTGCCCAGGCTACAGTGCAATAGCATGATCTCAGCTCACTGCAATCTCCACCTCCTGGGTTCAAGTGATTCTCCTGCCTCCCAAGTAGGTGGGACTACATGCTTGCACCATAACGCCTGGCTAATTTTGTATTTATAGTAGAGATGAGGTTTCACCATGTTGGTCAGGCTGGTCTCGATCTCCTGACCTCAAGTGATCCACCCG